TTTCAAATGTAGGATTCTAGGAAGGTGCGAAGGATTTTAAAAAAAAACCAACAAACTAATATGCACATTTTTTAACTGCATTGTACAAATACATCAAAATATGCATTGGGGGGTGGGGCCTGCCTGCCATGCCAGACAGACGCTTCTTGTCTGAGCTCCAGCACACAATCTCAAGTGTACAGCTTTCTGTCAGATTATACCCCCCAATGTTGACTCCAGCTGCTTAGCCAGTGATCTTAAACTGAGAGGGGAGATTCCGAAGCGTGTTCTGATGTCCTCGGGTGTCCACGCTACCGGTGACCTGTGAGCTGGCTTGGTGGCATAGTGGACCCAGGAGAGTGGAGAAGCGGCCGATCTCCGCCCTGGACCCATGCTGCTGATTAATGCCCCGATCCCCCACTCGCCCACCCCCCTTTGGACCGGTGGGGAGGACCCTGGTCTACTTTCAGGAGGCTTCCTTGATACTTTGAGGGCGTGCGGCATACAGGCGATACAAGCAACAGGCACTCAAGCTTACTCAAGATGGCGGGTGCCATCTGCTCGGATGTCCTGCACCATTTGGATGGGCTATTCGAGTCCTTACGGGCAAGGCTGAAGGCACACCTACGACTCACTATATCAAGGGCTACAAGTCTGCGGACAGCCACTGGGCAAAAGCAGAGCAGTCAGTGTCATACCGGGGCATGAATGGCGCGCAGATGCAGATCGAGACCCATGTGGAAACCGGCTGTACACGCTGGAACCTAGGACCACCTGTTGATCACAAAGAATTTACCTGACTGCCACACACTACCACTTGAGTGAGCTATCAGGCCTCCATCTGGGACTCCTGTGGTGGGTCTACATTCGGCCACTGCAAGGTATAGGCTGATTTCATACCTAAACCAGGGTCTACCTACCTTTCACATCATGTCCCAGCAGTGCTGCTGCGAAACGGTTGTCTTGTTTCTTTTCATGTATTTCATAATGCTTTCAAATATGGCCTATCTGTCGGAGCCTCCTGGGGGTTCTTACTCGTTGCTAAACTGCAACATTTTTAAGTTAACTACTATTAACTATATAGCTTTTACTCTCAGTGCAAATAGCCTGCTTACCTAATACCCCAATGTTCCACTTAACCTGCACTGTGTCTTTCTTGTCATTTTTATTTTCTTTTAATTAGTTTTAAAAAATGTGTTGCTTTTTCTATACACTTCAACTGATATGGCATGTCAATTCATTGCAGAATTTTCAGTGTATAATATGCTATTTTTGTCATTGACAAGCACACCAAAAATAAAGAATTAAAAAATAATATATATATTTATGCATTTTGTAACCTAGATATTACCTTTAAATTATACATTATTATTATTATTATTATTTTTTATTTGACGCTACCTGTCTGGGAACTAAAAATACTAGTGGCAAAGATCGGAAAACTTAATGTATTCCTCTTAGTTTGAAATGCTATGTGCTTAGAGTTATGGGATAACTATTATGTGTCATCACAAGACAGCAAGAATTCTACAACTCCCAGAGGCCAGGGGAGAGATCTGGGGATGGCGTATAACACCGCTTACCTATATAGTGCTTCATCTTCTCTTCCTTGGAAAATGCATCACCGAGATAATGTTCGAGTGAGTCCTGCAATGCAGCCATTATCTCTAGTCCATCCAAAAGCTTATTGTGATCAAAGTCATGCAGTCTGCAGAATAAAACATAGGACAGTTTTTACCATGCGGTAACACGTATTTAAACTATATGGCCAAAAAGTAATGGTATATCCAACAAGCCAATCACAACCATAAGGGCTTGTTGGATATACCATTACTGCATTGTGTCAATGGCAATTTGTACCCATTCAGCCAAAACAGCATTTTGTAGGTTAGACTAGAATCTTCTTACCAGTAATCTAAGAAATACTCTTTGTTTTTTGTTTGGTATTTCTAATGATAATTTGGGGTTACCCACCTATGGGGGTTTCTTTGTATTAAAATACTCGTTTTCCTGGCACTATAGTGGCCTGAGGGTGCCCCCACCCTCAGGGTCCCCCTCCCGCCCGGCTCTGGAAGGGGGAAAGGGGTAAAAACTTACCTTTTTCCAGCGCTGGGTGGGGAGCTTTCCTCCTCCGATCCTCCCCGTCGGCTGAATGCACACGCAGTGAGAAACACGCAAGCGCCTCTAGCGGCTGTCAGTGAGACAGCCACTAGAGGATTTGGGGGAAGGCTTAACCCATTCATAAACATAGTAGTTTCTCTGAAACTGCTATGTTTATAAAAGAATGGGTTAAGCCTAGCTGGACCTGGCACCCAGACCACTTCATTAAGCTGAAGTGGTCTGGGTGCCTAGAGTGGTCCTTTAATATAAATAGCTCAACTTTTTTTCTTAATTCTTAGACTTATGGTTTTTTTAAAATTATACATATGACGTATACCTTTATTATTTATACATCCATTATGTTGTATTTTTACATTTATACCAAAGAAAGCTCAAATGTGCATTTTATTGCTTTCCAAATAAAGCATTGTTGTGTTCTTGTGTTAACCCATTAGAATAATGTTTATTAGATTGGATCATTAGGCTGCAGTATTTCCATATAACCACACTTACGTAAAATAGTAAAACTCCAGTTCGTCTTCAGAGGCCTTCTCCAAGTCAATGTCACCTATTTCATTCTTAAGGTCTTCTTCTAGATGACTACATAATCACAAGGCAAAGTAATAATTAATTTTCTGTTAGAATTATAGTAACAAAGGGAAAAGGAATTGAGCCAAGAGAGGGGGACACATTTTAAGGCCAGAGCAATTTAAACTGGACTTCATTTGTCAATAGTTCCATATTAATAACTATTTGTAAAAAATGATCTCAATGGCAGAGTTTTTTTTTTTTTTTAGTAAATATCATTTTATTGAGATAGTTTCAAGGTAAACAAAACGCATTTAGTCTGTGAGCAGTGCGAAACACGCAGGTTTCAGTCATTCAAAGTCTCGTTTGGTGATTTGAGATACGCAGATCACCAAAGAAGTAGTGGTAGATGAGACTCGCAGGTCTCTGGGCTTAGTAGGTTTCAGATTTATAATATTTACAAAGCTTGTTTCATGTTAATTACAGTTTGTCAATTGCGCTATCTATGTTCAGGTGATTGTAGTTGTTCGCTCTGCTCTATGCTTTGTTTTTAATCGTAGCTTCCACCGTTAACTTGTCCTTACGTGTTGTAAGTGTCTTTCGGTCTTTAGTGTCTTTCGTCAATATTGGGTCTAGAATAGGGATAGTGGGGACTGGGGGGGAGGGGGAAGGAAAGGTGTTGTAACCCTTAGTAGCCCTCGCCTCGTCTATATGTTTCAATGGCAGACTTAATCTTGGTTTAGCTTCTCATATTTCTCACATTCCATGTGTGTTGCTTATTTTATTGCTATATCCAGCTTTCATTATGTATTTCTCGGCTATATCCAATAACAAACCACTGGTCATTTCGTCTGCTAACACAAGAATGAATATTCCACTTTTACTGGTTTGTTTTATTTCCTAAATAAACACGCCAAGCACCATAACCACTACATGTCACTAAACTTAGAATTTGTGCTTCAATTAGAAAATCTGTCTATTGTTCCATTATTTGTTTGTAGAGAAGCTATTTATTTGTAAAAACATAAAATATGTACACGCAGGCTTCCTGTGTCAAAGGACTGGAATGACTTAAAGGAACACTATAGTCACCTAAATCACTTTTAGCTAAATAAAGCAGTTTTAGTGTATAGATCATTCCCCTGCAATTTCACTGCTCAATTCACTGTCATTTAGGAGTTAAATTGCTTTGTTTCTGTTTATGCAGCCCTAGCCACATCTCCCCTGGCTATGATTGACACAGCCTGCATGAAAAAAAAACTGGTTTCACTTTCAAACAGATGTAATTTACCTTAAATAATTGTATCTCAGGAGGTAATAAATTCAAAATGTAACAAAATTTGCAATAAAGGAAGTTTAAACATTAGAACTCTCTTTACAGGAAATGTTTAGGAAGAAATGTTTAGTAAATCACATGCAAGAAGGTGGTCTAGAGCTGTATAAACAAAGTGGCTTGACTCCTAAATGGCAGAGAATTAAGCAGTGAGGTTGCATGGGGCATGATCTATACACTAAAACTGCTTCATTAAACTAAAGTTTATTTGGTGCATTTAGTGTCCCTTTAATAAACATACAAAACTCCAAGGTCCATTCCGTTGGATAATTAGGCAATAAAGGAAAAACATTAAGTCTTCAGTGTTTGCTATCAAATGGTTTTAAAAATAGAATGAAAAGGATACCATAGTCTCCTTAAACCATAACTACTACAATGTTTAGTGGTTATTATATATGGAGTGTGTTCCCTTAAAGCAGAGTTGTCAAATTCTGACCATCAGATGTCGTGGAACAAGTCCCATAATTTTCAGCCCATCTATTCAACTAGGGGAGTGGAGTTTTTCTTTTACCCCTGCTTGAAAGGATCTGCAAGGATCTAATCACCAGCTTGCTTAACCCCTTAAGGACACATGACATGTGTGAGATGTCATGATTCCCTTTTATTCCAGAAGTTTGGTCCTTAAGGGGTTAAAGGGACACTCCAGGCACCCAGACCACTTCTGCCCATTGGAGTGGTCTGAGTGCCAACTCCCACTACTCTTAACCCTGTAACTGTAATTATTGCAGTTTTTTATAATTACATTGCAGGGTTAACGCCATCTCTAGTGGCTGTCTACTATGCACTTCCTGCTTGATAGCAAAGATTTTCTTTGCTAGAGCGTTGCTGGAAGTCCTCACGCTGTGTGAGGACCTCCAGCGTCGCTCAATTCCCCATAGGAAAGCATTGAAAATCATTGCCGCGCATGCGCATTAGGTTTCCTTAGCCGGCGGGAAGGATCAGTCTCACCCACCGGCTGACGTAATTACTGGGAGGAGCGACGCCGACCCGAAACCACATCGGTGGGGTCTCAGGTAAGTGACCCTTTCAGCTACCTGGGATGGGAGGTGGGAGGGAGAGGGTACCTGCAGTGCCAGGAAAATGCATTGTTTTCCTGGCACTGGAGTTTCCCTTTAAAGGGATGCTCCAGTGCCATGAAAACAGGGCAGTTTTCCTGGCACTGGAGAATCCTGGAGTGCTCCCATCCCTCCTGCCCCCCATCCCATGTTGCTGAAGGGGTTAAAACCCCTTCAGCCACTTACCTGAATCTAGCACCGATGTCCCTCAGCGCTGGGCCAGGCTTCTTCCCCACCAACGTCAGCCGGCAGGGGAGACCTAATGTGCATGCGCGCATTAGACCTCCCCATAGGAAAGCATTATTCAATGTTTTCCCATGGGGAAAATCTGATGCTGGAGGTCCGTGAGGACGCCCAGCAGCAGATAACGGACCAAAAGTCCGTTTAGATTCTGGAAGCGCCCCCAGTGGCTGTCTGGTAGACAGTCACTGAGGGCAGATTTAGAGCTTCAATGTAAACATTGCAGTTCTCTGGAACTGCCATGTTTTACATTGCAGCACTAAGTGCAATAGGGACACTACACCCAGACTACTTCAATTAGCTGAACTGGTCTGGGTGCCTACAGTGTCCCTTTAAGTCTTTTAGGGCCATCAAAATTTGGACCTTGAAGGCAATATGTCAGGGAGCTGGATGCGTTTTGTCACAACAAAATATTTAAGGCTGTAATATTTTATAATATTTTAACGTCATGGTTTTTGTTTTAAGATTTTAAATGAATTCTGAAAGGCATAGTACTTTGCAACAGCTCTGGCATAAAAGATTTACATTTTTCTTTTAAATAAAATAACAGTATTTCCCAATGAACTTCATTGCAATGCAATAACAATCCAGCCTTTAAGAATAGATTTATGCAATTGATATTGAGATGAAAGCATGGATCCAAAATATGACCAACAGCCCAATGTCTGAAAACATTTAAGGCAGGAGTGCCCAAAAGGTAGATCCCCAGATGTTGCAGAACTACAACTCCCACGCTGCTTTGCATGCCTTTAGAATGACAAAGCATCATGGAATCTGTAGTTTTAACAAGTCGGGGGATCCACCTTATGTGCACCGCTGTTTAAGATATAAAACTAGGGGTGAATTGTAAAAATAAAGGAGTTGTACACAGAGAGGAATTGAGACTGATACAAATAAAATGTACTTACTGGTGATCTGTGATGATTGTTTTATTGTGAAACACATCTGATGGAAAGTTGTCTTTAGCCTTTTTATCAGGAATGCATATCACAAAACTCCAGGTCAAAACTAAAAGGAACACAAAATGTAACAAGTGCTTCTCCATCATGTTCTTCTGAAGGTGTGCGTGTATCAGGGAGCTATTGCTGAGGTGGCCTCATCAGCAGCTGCTTGAATTCTCACAGGATCCAACATCATGGGTAGCTATATCACACAGGTTGACAAAAGTCAACACCTATGAGTCACGTTTGAGGGAAAAAAATATCCACTCGTTTTTGATAAGCTATATTTTTATTAAACCGTTACAGAATGCAAATTATTTTATGTCTTAGAATTATCAACATGACTAATATAGTATTTTTCTTTTCTTACAGGTTATTATTAGGTGCTATTTGGGGAGGGTTTTAAAAGTGCAACTCACCAGCTTTACCATGTTATTGCAACTTGAAGAGAGAACGCACATGCTTTGGCCACAATATATCAGGACATTACAGATGTGATACAGTGTTTACTTCAAGAAGGTTATTTACCAAATTGAAAATTGTTGGGAATTAAAAGTGAATTTAAATTTTTGGGAAATGTAGCCAAAATCCTCTAAGGTCAGCGAATCTTCCATTTCGACTTTTTTCATGAAGTTTGAAATTAACTTTGAAACACTCACAATTTTCACTTTAGTGAAGAGCCCTGCACGTGTTTTGGGGGATTATTTTGTATAAAAAGAGGCTGAATGTCAAAGGTAGCAGAATACGGAATACTCCACATGGGGACCTCCAGTCTGTTTATGCTCATGCCATTGGTCACATCAAAGCATTAAACATCTAATTATTTACAGAAATGATTAAAGCTGCATTGTCAGTTTTGAGGTTTCCATGAAGACACAATCTTTGTGACTAACGTATAAAGTCTGTGAAATTCTAACACAATCAGAACATGCTCCTTCAAACCTATACCCACCCTCCTACCCTCTCTTTCCCATAATATGAAATTCATTTGATTCGCCTCTTCAAACCCTTCTCTGCTAACATTGCCATTATTTATCACCCCCCTGGTTTCCCTCTCTTCTAATATTCCATCCCTAATTCTCAGGGACTTTAATATTCCCATTAACCCAACTTTGACATCAGCAGCCTCTGAACTACTTTCAGTTACTCCCTCCCTTGGGCTATCAGTGGGCTAATTCTACCACCCATGTAGCTGGCAATACCCTCGACCGCATTTTCTCTTATGCATGTATAGTATCTAATATCTGCAACACTCCATTTCCTCTCTCTGATTACCACCTCTTATCGTTTGCTCTCAATTACCCCCTCACCCAACAATCTCAGCCTAACCCCCTCAACTCAGGAGGAACCTTAAATCTATTAACCTCCAGCAGCTGTCAGCTGACGTTGATTCAATACTGCTATCCATCCCTTCCCTCTGCTGTCCCTCACTGGTCATCTCCACATATAACACTACCTTCACCTCTGCCTTGAACGCTGCAGCCCCGCTCCAAGCATGCACCTCGAGGAGCCCCCAACCGTGGCATAGTAAATCAACACGCTACCTGCAAAGATGCTCCCGTTGTGCTGAATGCTCCTGGAGGAAGTCTTGCACCCAGTCAGACTATCTCCATTATAGATTCATATTGTACTCATACTGCGCAGTCCTTGCCCTCGCAAAACAGTCATACGTTTCCTCTCTCATTAGTTCATGTTCCCGCAATACCAGGTGTCTCTTTGACACCTTGGACTCTCTTCTTCACCCTGCTGTGCCACCCCCTAAACTAACCTTACAGCCGATAGCTTTGCATGCTACTTTACCGACAAGATTGAACAACTAAGGAAAGAATTCTCCCCACCTTGCTGTTCTATTTCTCAACCACACGTAGATCATGCCTTTCCTGAGTGACATTGTAACACGGTTACCTGTCATAAATGTCTGAATCACCTCACATGTACATATTTTGTAGACAACCCAGGGTATTCAATATGGGGTATGTCCACTCTTTATTAGTAGCCACTTAGTCACAAACACTGACCAAAATTAGCATTTATACTGGTTTGTGTGTTAAAAATGCAAAAAACTATTATGAACGCTAACTTTGGCCAGTTTTTGTGACTATGTGGCTACTAAAAAAGACTAAACATACCCCATTTGCAATACCTTAGGTTGTCTTCTTTTGCAAATGGTATGCCATCATGGGGGTAATTCTCATTCCTGGGCTACCATACGCTCTCAATGGCAACATAACCAATCTGGCAAATTGGAAAATCAAGCCTTATATTTGACCCTGTAACTTTCAAAAACACTATAAAACCTGTACATACTGTTATACTCGGGAGGCTTTGCTGAACACAAATATTAGTGTTTCAAAACAGTAAAACGTATCACAGCAATGATATTGTCAATGAAAGTGCCGTTTGTGTGTGAAAAATGCAAAAAACTTCACTTTCACTGACAATATCATCACTGTTACTGATATGTTTTACGATTTTGAAACCCTAATGTTTGTGTTCCGTGAAGCCTTCCGTAACTTTCATGGAAAGTTACAGGTTTAAATACAATGCTAGCAAATTAAATTCTCTGGACTTTCGGCCTGGGTTGTCAGGCAGGTCCCTCAAATTGCAATCAATAAAATGACTTAATTATGTAAAAATATTACATAAATATGCACGTAGAATTTAAATATATATACATATTTATATATTTGAAGTCTACGTGTATATTTATGAAATTATTTATGTAATTATGTATATGAATATATATATATATATAATTTGTATTATTTGTATATACATAGATATATATATCATTTCATTCTAAGTGTATTTTGATATATCAAAATACAGTTAGAATAAAATAAAATAAAAATATTTGAAATGTATTTACTTATTTATATTTAATAATATATACACAATATATATAGTTATTATATATATTATATATACGTGTGTCATTTAATTATTAAGTATTTTTATATTAATATATGTATATATTAGTATAAAAATACACTTAGTATGGCATTCTAAATAGATATAATATATGTATATATATATTTATTTATTTATTTTACAGATGCAGGGTGTGACGAGACCAATCTCGCCACATTGCATTGGAGAAGCCGGGTTGCTCGCCTGTTGCCTTGGGTGTGGGTGGTACTAATGTGTAAGAATGTGTACATAAGCACAATAAACCCACAGCTCTGTCTGTTCACTGCTTGACCCTCAACACGGAGCTTTGTCTCGTTCTTGGGGGGATTTACTGTATGCTGTTCCAATTTGACTGCTAGGAGTGTAAACCTATTCGTATGGTTTTTCCTATTCGGCTGTTTACAGCATTCGTATGGTTTCCTGTTCGGTGGATTGGTGTTCTGCAGTAGCTGTGCCTGCATCTCTGGAAGGGGACGATCGCCTAAACGGTTTTAACTTCTTGTGTGCTGAAACGGTTATTATTAACACCCAGGGAAGAAAGTCTGTTGATTGCCTGCAATGTACAGTCATTGTTACCAGGGGAAATAAGAAATCCTTTGTAATTCAGTCTGTGTCACCGTTATCAAAGCAGCTGCAGCCCAGTGGCCACAAAAGTTCAAAACAAAAGTTCAAAACCACAATGTTAGGAACGCTGGTATAATATATACCCTGTTCGCTCTTCCTCCCGAACTGCTGAGCCTGAGTGATTATAGATGCAGTTTTTAGTTCCAGACACTCCACGACCAAGTCTTTCATGCAAACAAGATGGCCACCGTTTTCTCTCGCACGTGGTATTCGGCTATATGAACGACGGCCACAGAGAGAGAGCGCTCAAGCGACAGTTCTCTTTGAAGATAATGAGCCAGGGGGGTGGTCGGTGTTCGGTAGTTACAGCTACCGAACCAATACAACTTAAAAAATCACGAATGGCAATAAAAGTCTCGAATGAGAGGCTCTTTTCTTCACACACGAGATCAATGTTTCTTTTTGCATAGGCCTGTTTTCCAGCTACTAGTGACACATAGCATGCCAGAACTGTGCAGCAAGATAGATCTGCGTTTGCCTGCATATGCCTTTGTCAATTTAATTTTCTATAGTATTTTAAAGGAAAACTCCAAGCAGCGCTATTACCCCTACAATGTTCTGTAGTTATGGTACCCGGAGTAGACTGGTAGCCTCCCAGGGTGACTAGTCAATCCAGTTAGGCAACTTACCTGGTGTCTGCCAGGGACTGGTTGCAGCCTCCTTTGGTTGGCTCAATAAGGTAAAGAAGCAGTCCACAATATATTCCTTCACTACCTGGGGCCTATACGCGGGGCGGTGGGAGGATACATGTCTCGAGATGGGATAAATGCTAGGATCGTTGGAGTGGGGAGGTTAGGCCAAGTTTATTAATTTGCAGTTGGTTCATGCAATATTGTTGATGTTTACATGTATTGCTGTTACACTACACTGTGCTGAAATTATGTTTGCTCTTTATTACTTAAAACGGTACTATCATGCTTAACTTACTTTTCTTCTATTGTTTCCTCTTCTCTTTCTCTCTCATAATCTCATAATCTGTTATTTTCTTTATTTCCGATCTAGTTTACTTTAAAACACAAGACAAAGTATAATACTTTGTCTTGTGCATTTTTCCTACACTTGCTTTTCTCTGACCCAAGGAGGGGCTTAAGTCAATTTTATTTCCTGTGTCAAAGAAAGTACTCACCCTTCTCCTTGACACATAAAATGGAGCTGCCCAAACGATCGGCGAATTGTGCATTGACAGAAATTTTACAAATTTGGAATGGGACTAGGCAAGGTTGCCTTCATTCTTCCTTACTATTTGCCCTTAGTAAGGACGGATCCTTCCTTGAGGCAGTGAGACAGAATGTAGATATCAAAGGCTACAGACCGGTAAAGTGGAGCATAAGGGTCTTTGTCACAAAGCCAAGGACCTTTCTCCCATGCTTAATGAGTTTACAGAATATGGCACCATCTCTAATCTAAAACTTAACATGAATTATTGTGTAGTCTTCAAAGTAACTCTACCCAGTGCAAATAATGCAGTCTTGCAGTTACAGTTCCCCTTCCATTGATGTAGAAACTAAATGAAGTACCTAGGACTATGTGTCACAGAAGGTGAGCTTTATCAAAGAAAATTCTTGCCTCTCCTTCATAGAGTTCAGGCTTCTCTGAAACCATGAATTTACCATCACATCTCATAGATAGGCCATATATCAGTCAGAAAGATGAACATATTGTATCTTTACTGATTACTGTATCTTTTCCAAACAGTCCCATTGTATTTACCTAAAGCATTTTTTGCTACCTTGAGGTCTTCGGTGATCACTAATATGTGGAAAGGGGAAAAAGGTCTTGCCAACACTATGACATGTTCAGCCTACCTAGGCATAAAGGAGGCTTAGCGTTGCCATACTTTCAAAAATACCATCAGGCAACAGCACTACAGATAATCTTTGAATGACACGATCCACCTAAACACAGACAGCGGATTCAGCTGGGCATGGATGTTGCGGGGGCCTCTTTACCCTCTCTCACTTGGGGCACATCTTTAACCTTTGTGGATGCTCTGTGTCTGGCTTTCCATTTGAATGGTCGCTCGTATCTTCCCTATACCAATTCAACTTTTACCATTAAAGGGACACTATAGTCACCTGAACAACGTTAGCCTAATGAAGCAGTTTTGGTGTATAGAACATGCCCCGGCATCCTCACTGCTCAATCCTCCACCATTTAGGCGTTAAATCTCTTTGTTTATGAACTCTAGTCACACCTCCCTGCATTTGACTTGCACAGCCTTCCATAAACACTTCCTGTAAAGAGAAGTATCTTTATTGCAAGTTCTGTTTAATTAAGATTTTCTTATCCCCTGCTATGTTAATAGCTTGCTAGACCCTGCAAGAGCATCCTGTATGTGATTAAAGTTCAAGTTAGAGAATGAGATACAATTTAAGGTAAATTACATCTGTTTGAAAGTGAAACCATTTTTTTTTCATGCAGGCTGTGTCAATCATAGCCAGGGGAGGTGTGGCTAGGGCTGCATAAACAGAAACAAAGCGATTTAACTCCTAAATGACAGCGAATTGAGCAGTGAAATTGCAGGGGAATGATCTATACACTAAAACTGCTTTATTTAGCTAAAGTGATTTAGGTGACTATAGTGTTCCTTTAACACTATATTGGATCTAAGAATGGTGCTTAGTGCTTGCATATGCCAGAGGGCAACTCAACGTAATGTTAATTGTGTCCGGTGCTTCCACTAGTGGCGGTGAATGGTATCAGATGAATATTGTTGCTGGAGAGGTTTGGAGTGATGGGTTTCTATCGTAGACAGGATCTGGAGTTGTAGGTTTTACATAGTAGTCCATCAAAGTCAACTTTTAGAAACCTTTTCTTAGGCAGTTGATCCAAATGAAGGCATTTGCACTTTCACTGATAAGATCATTACATGCTTTACTGTTTTAAAACACTCATATTTGTGTTAAGCAATGTCTCATGAGTACAACAGTACCGTACTTTGTTACCCTTGATTATGGACTCAGGGAGAATATTCACCAAGCGCTGGCACTTTTTTGCATACTTTCAGTGCTTGGAATTTGGGAAGTTCTTTATGTGTTCAGCTGCCATTATATTTTATTAATGTTTTAACTATATGTAGATAGTATACTATTGTATGTAGAAGCTCTCTGTAGTGTGAATGCCACCTCAGACAGCTGTAATAATCCAGTTAAAGACTACAAAGTTCAAGCTGCAAGTACTTGGCGATTAAAAATACCAAATTGACATGTACGGGTTTCATATTTTGATAACTAAATTATAGTTACAATAACATTTTATGCAATTATTTATTTATTCAATATTCTCATTACAATCAAAACGTTCTAAAATCCATAATTTATTAAATGCACAGGCCAAGAAGATTCAGTGAGGCTCCAGTGGTAATATTTTGGCAGCCATAGCAGACATGCACACAAAAATAAAATCAAACCACAAAAACCATGTTGGTTCTGCATTACATCAGGGTTTATTTGGGTTTGGCTTTGCACGCTGGTAAAAACAAAACAAGAATTAAAAATATAAACAAAGTTACAAAACAAGAACAAAAACATATCTTAAAGCAACATATTCATATTAACACAGATTACTTTAAACATTATGGAGATAGAGAACACTGAATAGGTTTATTCACTTATTCCAGGGGTTTTGTTAACACAAGTTAAACAGCAAATTATCAAGGTTTGAGCACCTTTTAGAGAGCTGGAAGTATCTGCAGACCATGATAGGTCCAAGCCAGGGGTGTCAAAAAGGTAGATCCATAGACGTTTTAAAACTACAGGTTCCATCATTCTTTTTCATTCTAAAAGGCATGAAAAGCCTCATGGAAGTTGTAGTTCTACAACAACATCTGGTGATCTACCTTTTGGGCACCCCTTCACTAAGCAGTGTAGCAGCCCCAAAACAAGGTTTGGAGACCCCTCCTTCCCCCCAACCAACAAAAGGTGGTAAGTACCAAATCTATCCTTAAGAATGGGTACAATTAAGATTCAATAAACTAAAACATATGGCTGAGTGGATAAGCCTCTAAATTATAAAGCATTACATTTGACTTTGAGGTTGAACCAAAGCTGGCAAACTTGCAAATACAAGAAAACACAAAACCGCACAACCAAAAGAAGTTAAACAGCACGGCAGCACAAAGTGAAACTTATCAGTTTAAATATATGCTGTTGTATATATATACACCATATATTTGAAGGCCAAGGTGTATGATATTGGATTACCAACAATGCATCATTTTCCGGTACACAGACAAATCAATACTTGTTGAAATAATCAGAGGACTTTAAAGGGGAAAAGCAGTTTATTACTAAATGTGCATGTGTATATTTGAAGAGCTGCAGCATATATTATAATGGAAATGGATAACTGCTGTACAGTTAGAGGAAGTTTAAAAGATGTTAAAATCAAAAGCACTGCATTGTTTTCCCACATGCCATGGATACATTGGTTTTATCAGCGCTGTTTGGTAGTTTACTGCTTAATACTTGCATATCCTAAAATCAGTTAACAGTTAAAAATCCCTTTAGTTCAATAAGTTTCAGATTGAGAATTACAGTTATGTGAAGCATTTTTTCTCCATTAAGTGCTTTAACTTGTTTTCACTATAGAAAGATTCAGCAGAACACGGATTAGTGTTTAACATTTCTCTTCTGGTGGCATTACCCATGATGCGAACTAGAACACAAGAATTGGGTTACCTGTAATAGGTATCTGCTTCGAAGAATGGTTAAAGGAAACAATTATACAGAAACATTATTAAAAAAAATATAAAAAAAATAAAAATAAAAAGCAGATGCAAGCTCGAAGAACTGGAGTATATTTCATCTTTACCTGCTGTGAACAATTTTCTTCTTTTCAACTGAAACTCAGGGACATAGTATGTGTTACAGGAGATTAGTGTAAAAATTGTAGATGTCAAAAAGCCAGGTGGGTAACTTGCTTTAATACAAAGCAGTGCCTCTACAAATGCAAGATCACACCATTCAAAAAAAAAAAAAAAAAAAATACAAAATGGATTTGCTTCCTAGAAGCTATAATAGCAATCTGCTGATCTGTTCCAAACCATCATTTCAGATTGCATTATTCTTTGAGAGAATGGCTATTAAAACTAAAGCAGGGCTGTGCTACAGATTATAAAAGAGCAGCAAGCTATTCAGGTTTTCTCTCCTCAATGAACTTTAATAGAAAGTTGAATATTTGGTCTATTCTTCATATTCCATTATGGGCAGAGTCTGTCTTATAAAACCACTAAACTTGCCTTTAATCTAGTACCAAGATATGGAAAGGGTCTTCTTATCATAAGGCATTAGAATCTCTAGCAGTAAAAGGTCACGTGTGTTTTAGTGGTTTGGCAAAACCCTTTTCTTTCTTTCAAGAAAAAGAAAAACCAAAAGATAAAATTTGGTAAAATTCAGCATACTGTAGGTGTATATACTATACTGGACTTTTAACACAACCCACAAAACCATTAAATGCAAAAAATTCTGAGCAAGCGTTTAGCTGAATGCTGTTCTACCACTTTTCATTCTATGCATATAACAGAGGATTCATAGTTAAACAAACATATTGAAATATTCCCCCTGCGCATGAAATCAGGTCTAAAGAATTAAGTTCACAGTTTATATTACATATGAATCACATTACAATTCTATACTGGGATACCACTAGTGTGTGGTTTGTATTTTTTCTTTTGCATTGTATTTAATGTACACTACAAAATGGAACCAAATAGACTTTTTTTTTTTTTTTTTTTACATATGGTTAATACAATAGCAGTAAACACACACTTGCACATTTAATTTCATGGATAAAAACTAAATTGAAAGAAGTCTCTTCAATTAAAAGAATTTATTTGTGGAAAACATAATTTGACTAGAAAACATCCAGGAGTCTGCCTGTGTATAACAAAAGCCCCAAACATTGCATTTTGGAGGAGCGTCTTTTGCAGCTTGTTACAAGTGAATAGAGAGAAGTCAGATGTGCTGTTACAGAATGACAAAATAGAGACAGATCAAATGTTAACACCAAACTCACTCTCAAAACCAGTCTTATTACCCGGGTGTCAGAGAGCTTTGCTCCCACCTGTAGATATTCAAAGGGCTAGCTGAGTAAAGTTCTAGCTGAATATTTGTAATGCGCCAATCCATTTTAAGTGCAAAGTAATATACTTATTGAAGAATAGCTGCAAAGAACATTTACAGATTTATTTTAAATATATTTCCCCATATCTTTATCAGAGAAGGAGATATAATGAAATATGAAAGCAGATTGCGATTATTCTCATCCAACATGCTGAAATATATCACTTGAAGGAAGGCTAACAGTTTGAACAGGTAATCTACAATTAAAAAACAAAAACAAACAAAAAAGACCCTTTGGAGATTTCTAGGCTTAAGAAAGGGCCACAGAGCATATGTTTACCCATACAGGTCTACAAAGTAGAACCCAAGTGCACAGTATTTATAAACTGCTCTATATGATACTTGGATTCGGACTCATAGAAAATGGCCAGTGCGAGAGCATGATTTATTCTCTTTATGGATTTGTATGTGGCTAGTTCTGTTACTTTTAAAGCTTTCTACCACTCTTTAAAAACATACAACCCATCCAAATATTGTCAACTCCTATCTGTGCTCACAGAACACCATCCTTTAATGTGCAAAAATTAGCTGTAAGAAAAAAAAAAAAAACCCCTAACGAACGGTCTGTAAAATGCAACAACACTGACTAGACACAGTACTAGAGACCCATGGCATAAGTATTGTTTTCAGAAGCCATTAAAGTGCTGCTAAGCCAATTCAAATTTGATAAAATTGAGTCTACTGCATTGGTTAATTGCTTTATCATTTAGAAGCATAGTAATGCAAGACAGAGTGTTTAATATAAAACCTTTCAGAGCTAGAGGGGGTGAGCAACGCAACTTTATACCAGACATTGGACATCACCAACGCACCTGAAGGGTTAAATGGCTCAGAGACCAATCTAATTATTCCCTTTAACTTCAAAGGATTCAGCTTTCAGCTGTTCATCACTGAAAGGCTTTACCAAGAGATGAAGTACCTGTCCTTTATCCTAGCTAACAAGGCATGTTGTCAGAACACGTAGTCATGTCAAATAACACTGTAAATGAAAGAAAACAAAAATACACAAATATATACTTAAAAGATAAATATTTCCACTAGGTGTCATGTATGTAATGAAGTCAATATAAATCATTGTCGTTTTGCAAACCATTTTATCAATTAAGGGCAATTAGGCTGTAATCCAATTTAGGCAGTTCAAAAGCGCTTTTGCCTTGCTTTTAGCGGATTAATCCTTCAGGACATTTGGCAATAAGTGACCACTAATGCGTTTACGTCAGCTCCCACCGTCCCGTTGAACCAAAAGCACATGAGTGGCAACATGAGAGAACAGGATTGCACTTTTAAAACACATTAGCACATGTTGCAAAACATCTGCACACCTTTAGGGATTTCTTAATAAAAACAGTGAGATGTGTTGAGCTGACAACAAATTTGCAAAATTCAGCTAAGCTAGCCAAGTTGAAAAAAATATTTGAAAAAATAAATATATACACAACTGAACTCTTAGCTGAATTTTTGCAATTCTGTAAACATTTCACTGCTTTGTAAATACACCCCCAATATCTCTGAAAATAACCAGGTAAAACAGGTAACAAGCTAATTCCTGTCAAAATGACAGAACACCAGATTAATGCTTTCGTTCTTTCTGTAGTGATTATAAATCGGAATATTTGTACACTTTTTTTTTTTTTTTAAATAAAACATCAGTGCAATTAGCATTTGATCCCTTTATACATTGCGGTCAACAGTATTACTGAGTGATTAATATCTGTATGAAATATTTCCTCTTCTTGAAACAGTTAAAGGATTAGTGTGGGTTTTCCCCACTTAAATTTACTGTAAAAATAGATTTCAACGCATAAAAACAGGTTAAAACTATACATTTGTTCTAAACTCAAATATTACATTAACCTTTTCAGTGCTGTGCAATGTATTGTGAACATAGCTAGCACTTACATGGTTAAATCTGAAGGCGCTGAAGAATTCCATGCACATACCTGCTCACAGCAAGCAATGCATGCATTCCACATCCAACAATGGTAGCATGTCACATAATACTTTGCAATCACAGACACCTGAAACAGCTGAGTAAGTTTATCACCATGCTCAAAGTACCAATTATATTTTTTTGTTGTTTTTTTGTTTTCCTAAAAGAGATGGGATGTTTATGAACAGGTTTTCAGCTACACGGTCTGTAAGCAGAGGATTTCTAATGGATCCATGAAATTGCATCTTATTGAAAACAGGAAATGTCATCCCAAAGCAGGACACGTGCGTTCGTCCAAGCGAGTCTCTTAAGTAGGACAGAGAACTAAAATAAAAAAATAAATAAAACTATCAACACCGATATTAAGTGAACAATTAACAGCTAAAATATGGCATAGCATTAAATAGTTTTATGCACACATTTTTACAATACAGGAAAAAGTCTATCACTTCACAGACATCTGCTTTTCCTTGGATGCTTATGCACTAAAAAGCAAATTGTAATACGCTAATAAGTGAATAGCAAGCTTTTGGTCAAAACAAAAGGGATACGATAAATCGGAATTGGAAAGAACTTGAGATATTTCCTCATTAATTTTTTAATTTATCAGCTTAGCACAACACACTATTTAGTGAAGCTCCAGGGACATTGCACAAATTTGCTTAGCACAAGAAATATTCTTCAATTCTGGCATAAAACAAAAGGTCATAGCTCATTCACCCTGAAGTGCACTTAATGTTGTCCTCAAACCAGTCTTCTACAGGCCTATTATCAGAATTTCCAAGCAAATACTGCTTAGCATTGGCCCTCATCTTGATCTGCATTAATATGGAACGGACAAACTAATTAATAAAATGTTAAAACAAAATTGGGAATTGTACCATACAATTGAGTTCTAAGATATGGAGGGCATCAGGGAAAGTTGTAAAAAGGTTCATTTTAGATAGGTGAATCTGACACCATTCCTTTTCTTGATTAAAGAGTATTGATAAAGTTAAAATATACCTGTTTCTATGAATAGAACTTTGCCACTTCATAGGGAAAAGCAATTCATCTATGTACTATGCAAGAAAAATTCCAAGCACATTTATTAAAGGTTAATTTTCATTTATTTATTTTCAGATCTACAAGGCACAGCACTAAAGACTATAGATACAGAATTTATGGGTAGCTGTGCATCCAGTAGTTCAATTCTCCATTTAGGAACCATTGGATAACGCTTGCAAAAGGTATGCAACATGGTCAGTAAATACAGGTTCTCTAGAACAATGTTTATTAAACATGTGCATGAGAACCAGCATTGGCTGGGGAAGGGGGGAGGACTGACTGGTGTGAGAAATACTGCTTGGTAGCAACAAAGAATAGGTGTACAGGAAAAATTAATTGTGAATTATTGATGTACAAGGTATGGATCCATAACCAATATTGCTTTCTGTATCACTTCACCAAATGTTTAGTAATATATTATCCTGAAACAAATCTGGCAAAAAATTCCACATCCCACAAAACAATGCTAAAGACACGCTCTACACTGTCTCATTAACACAATGCAATATCACACAAACCTCATAGGCATCCAGCTTTTACACCAGTGCTAGCACAACACAAAAACAAGAAAATCAGATGAAACAAAAAGACAAAATAACAAAGCGTGAGAATTGAGTGGCTATTGTCGACAAGGCAACTAATATTCCCGATTCTGTGTTTTTGAATGGATTATTTTAAAATAATTTTCTTGATGTTAAAAAAATAATCCATTTAAAATAAGTTTAAAAAAACCCTTACTTTGAACACAAAACTCATGTACATGGTTTGAGATCCACAAAATATGCCTGTCATATGAGGCCAGGAAGGCACTGCTACATAGACTGGTAACATGTTAAGTAGGAATAAAAATAAAATCAATCCATTAATATCCATGATATTTCAATGAATGGTGAGAAACTTTGAGTTAAATGGGACAGTCCCAGTCACCGGAACAACTACAGCTTAAGGTAGTTCTTGTGTCGCTGTCCCTGCAGGATTTGTAATGTAAACACTGCCTTTTCAGAGAAAAGACAGTGTTAACATTACTGCCTAGTAACACCTCTAGTGGCAGTTAGGCAGCCACTAGATGTTCTTTCTGGGTCAATGCTTGTAGAATATTACATATTCTATATATTCCTATTCAAATACATATTAAGCTGCAAATGTCTAGTGGGTTAAAAAAAAACAAAAAAAAAAAAACAGATTGGGTTTGCTATTCTGTACCAGGGGGACTCTGGAATGTGCTGTATAGGGAGATTGGGTGTAGGGTCCAAATATGGGGAGTTTCCTTATATGGCCAGAGTCTAAAGGGGAGGAGAGAGAGGGGGAGAGAGAGAGAGAGAGATATATATATATATATATATATATATATATATATACACATATACACATATACACATATATATACACATATACACATCTTAATCAACCGAGAAAACACAGACAATGCATCTCTATGAGGAGATTCTAATTGTCGAGGTGCTGTGTTTGTAGTGCATGCATTTCCTATGGAAAAGCATTAGCTTGATCATCAATTGGTTGAAATCATCAAAATGTATTATCTCTGCGATGGAGGCGGAGCGAGTCATGAACTGACCAGTGCAGTGCTCGAAAAGAGTACTTTTTAAAACCTTTTTTAGCCGGAGACAAGGGAGGCCGGGACCGCAATGGAGGCTTCTAAACTAAAATTTGTATTCCTAACTCTAGTATTTCTTTAAAATGAACAGACAACACTTTGGAATATGTGCACTGAGTTTCCTTTTGATTTGTATACAGCAGGTTTAGAAAAATAAGATTACATAAATAAAAGCATGCAGACCATGTAGTTTAGGAAAAATTATGTGACTCACCCTTTAAAATGTAGTCTGTTAGCAAACTTGGCACTTTCTCACTATCATCTTTCATTGCACGGAGTACTAGGGAGACACCGGATATATCATAATGAATACAGTCCATCATACGAAATTTAAATAAATTAGTTTACTCTAGATCTGCAAAACGTTTATTGAAATTTTAAATTTTATCGAAGTTTGTCTTTATTCACATACCTAAAATATGTAAAATTATTGAAAAAACAAACTTCTAACAAAGAAATGGTTTGAATAAAGTTATCACTCTATTAAGATTTTAACAATCCCTGAATTCAGCAGTTTGATACTCACTTTTACTTAGTATCTGGAGGTCTTCGAGAGAAGGTGGCCCATTTTTCTTTTCGTAAGGAATAACAGTGGTCAGATACTGTTGACATTTAAATAAAAGTATAAAATGCACGTGAAACAGTACATCAGGTATAATTTTAAAATAAGATGTGTTTTTATACTCCTCAAAAAATATTGTTGCTTTGTATCACCATTAATACACAGTTAGGAAGCTGCATGCACAACTTAATTCTCAGTTTATTAGGTAAACTGTATCTCTTTTATTGTGTTATTTACATTGATTTATAGGTGTGTGTCTCTTACCTCACACATACAAAAGAAAAATACCAGTATAAAATAAAAACAAGATTGTTTACGAAAGGGTTATATTAATATTTGTTGAAAATATACAGAAAGACAAAAGGATGAAAAGAGATAGAAAACCCGAGCACCTGTTTCTCTCCACCTGAGCTCCCAAACGTCTGCCGAAAGCTATGCTGTATGACGTTTGATAAGCCTTCCATGCTGAAGCGCTACAGCAAGTACAGAAAGCAGTGCAGAACAGGACAGAGAAAGGAAAAGATTGTTAGTAAAAACTATTGTAGATGTAAACCTGAGGAGTTAAAAGCCATGCAGACAGTATACAACTTGCTCAGTAAACTTCCAGAGATGGGGGGTGGGGGAGGGGAGGGAAAAACAACATAACTAAAAAAATACAAACATGTATATACACAAAACATATACTTCTAGTCTGTGCATAAAACCGATACATTTTTATAAAGCAGTGATGGCTAAATGGCACTATAAAAGTAGTGTGGCTTTCCTATGAGCGGGTTTGAATGTGCACGCGGCTCCACTCGGGAGCTGACATTGATGGAGGACGAGAGGTCACCAGTTCCGAGGTAGCCCAGCACAGGATTAAGGCAAGTGGCTGAAAGGGTTTTAACCTCTTCAGCGCCAAGGGTGGGGGGGGGGGGCACTCCAAGAGCCTATTGTGCCAGGAAAATTGGTTTGTTTTCCTGGCACTATAGGATCCCCTTAAGGGCAGTTCATAGCATGACATTCAATTGCAAGGAGCACAGACTCAGCAATTTTCATTAATGGATATTAAAGCTTAATGTTTGTTTATCTCCAAACCAGCTTGTGTCAACAATTTAACTAGAACCTTTAAAAAAATGGCTAAAGCTAGTTTTTGTTACTGACTGATGCATAGATTTCTATCGAAGGCGATATCATTTGAACCCCTTAAGGACCAAACTTCTGGAATAAAAGGGAATTATGACAAGTCTCACATGTCATGTGTCCTTAAGGGGTTAAAGGAATTTTTGTAAACAAAAGCATCATATCTAAATTTTTAGCACTATTAGGGACATTGTAAATTTATTGGAAGCAGTCTATTTTTTCTTCTACCTGATATGGCAAAACATTTAAAAAATGGCTACACAATATCTAAACTATTAAAATGCAGCGTCACGATCATCAGATAGCTGGTAATTAGCAAAGTGTACGAATGCATACAATATGTTATATCTCAAGTCTCCACTGCATTCAGTAAAGAATGCAGTGCACCAGGGTCACTATAAATACACACTGCAATGGAGGAATCATTGTTAGAATACTAGAGCTACAGGATACAGAGAAGACTTTCTACATTCTGATTTCAATAGCGTGTCACTTTTTATTGCACCTTCAAGTACCAAGTCTGATGAGGGTTCCTTTAAGAACTAAAAATCACTTGATATTACAATAAATCGCCACAAAGCTTGATCATGGAAAGCAGATTTTTTTTTCCCCTCCGTACAATATAATCCTCCCTTGCCACATGATCTAGATACACAGTGCCTTGCTCATAATCTACAATAAACACTGGAGATTTGATTGACAGTACATCTACACACCTGAAAGTAATGCATTAGAAAAATACAGGGCCAATACGTTTAGTGAAAAATATTTTGGGAAGGAACAAACTGGAAACCTGTGGAATTCAGATGTTTTTACCTACAGAAAAATTAACTTTCAGTAAGAAAGGAACTTCTACAGAACATTAGTCCAAAAGGCATATGGAGATGAAACAATGCCAAACAGCATAACAACTAACATTTAATAATTAGGGCCATGGAAAAAAAAAAAAAAAAAAATGACAAGAGGAAATACAAATGCACAGTATTTAGTGAATGCATCATAACACTTCCAGTCCCCTCCCTCCCCCCAAAAATACAACTTTAAAAAAACAAAACATTAAAAAGGGGGTCAGGGGAGGGGGAAGTAGTGAGAGAATATATTGTACTTTAGCTGACGAAGTGGTTGAAGAAGTTTTACAACAATTGTGTAAAATGCCGCACCGTGCTTTTTTTTCCCCTGGAGATTTTTTATATTTGCCAAGGTCTAGAACTGCTTCTCTGTTAAAAAGTCCAAACTGGAACGTATATGCCATGTAGGAATTACAAATAAGATTCCTAGAAAACCTAGGAGCAAACCGAAGATGCTTACCGTTCCAGGCACGTGACCCCTATCCTGCTTGCCATTCTGTGCATTCCCACTTCTTAGCTTTTTCTTCTTTTTCAAATTTTCCTTGTGCTCTTTCTGCTTGTTCTGTACCTCGATAAGGACTGATATAAAACAGTTTTTCACCTCTTTTTCAAACTCCAGTTCATCCCTCAAAGCCAGCTGTTGTACCAGCTCTTCAGAATAATCCTTAATAGCGGTTTCAATTTCATCAAGCAGATCATTCAATTCTGCAACAGACATCCGCTTCACTTCTATTAGAAGAGAAGACAAAAAGCAAGATAAAATGAAAGCAAGTAAAAAAATAAAAAATAAAAATAAATATATGATGACACATTTGATGGCATCTGGCAGCTAGGAAATAATAAGCCAGGTACATAGGGGAGGAAACCTTGAAAAGAAGCATCGCAAACAGCACAAATTTCATGTTAAAGGGACATGCATCACTAAATCATTTTTTGCAAACACTTTTAAACAAATATATAAACCAAAATAAAATTAGAGTTTTTTAAAAAAAAATATAATTTACTTTGTCAGATTGCAATATTGGGCATCGTTGTATAGCAGGAGGAGAGAGAAAACAGACACCAGAGCCTGCTTGGCATGATCACACTGACCAGACTCCCTTCTCTTCTACCCCAGGATGTTGCAATGGGAAGAGATCTTCCAACTGCACATATGTATATATTTCAGGTATTCCCAATGCACTTTTTCTGCATTCCTAGGGATATGACACGGATTGGTTAGACTAGTGTCCCCCATTGAGTAGTTGTGAAGAGCACAAGAAAGAAGAAGCTGGGGAGGCAACTGTAATTGTAAGCTAAAGCTTTTGAATGAGACACAGTCTCAAATTGATGCATGACCCTTAAAGGGAAACTATAGTGCCAGGAAACCAAACTCTGTTTCCTGGCACTATAGCTTCCCCTCTGTCAAGGATCCCCTCCCCCGACGCTGAAGGGGTTAATAACCTCTTCAGTCACTTACCTGGGTCCACTCCGCCCATGCTTCTCCCCCGCTGACGGGGGAGACCTAATGCACATGCACGGCAACGGCTGTGCTCGCATTAGGATTTCCCCATGGGAAAGCATTAGTAAATGCTTTCCTATGGGGGAATTCTGATGCCGAGGTCCTCGTGCAGAGCGGACCAAAAATCTGTTTCAATCCTGGCAGTCCCTTTAGTGGCTGGCTTGTTATAAAAACTGCAATAAATACCACTGCAGTGTTAAGGGTGATGGGTGTTTGCACCCAGACCACTTCAATGAGCTGAAGTGGTCTGGGTGCCTACAGTGTCCCTTTAAATATACTTTTCAACTACACTGTTTACATCTCATTATATTTGGCGGGATCAACCAAACTAAAAGCATAGAGCAAGAGGATACGGAGAACATAAAACAGCTCAATCCTTTCAGTGGATCTCTGCTGAATCAAAAAAAAAATATTGTGAAATTTGTACATTTTGTTTTGTTGTTGTAGTAATGTTTTTAGAGTTCAAAGCTGAATAAGGAGCAGATAGCTTTTTCCATGAACAAGTACTTTAATTTTTTTCCCAAGCATCATAAGATTTACCTCATGTCTCCATCAACTTATTCCGATCGCCTTCAGATACATACCCGCAATCCTAGCTGGTGACCCCATCATACTTAACGTCGGTAGCCTTTTACACTGTCACCTTCTGTCTCCTGTGACTCATCCCATGTTATGTTAATCATTGCCAGGAGCAGCCACCATGCCACTCTCACTCTCATTGGGCAGTGAAGGGTTTCATGGTCAGTGTTTGTAGATTTCTATTTAAACAGCATTAAAGGGTGCTTGCTTCATACTGATAACTCCTATGGCTTTCTATTGCGTTACTGCTGAAAGCAGAATGTGTGTAAAGGATGTATAACATGTATTCCTCTTACAACGGTCTATGTGTTCCTTGCTGTTTACAACAGTATAAGACAGCCTTGCATCTAATATTAGAGCACTTTGAAGTGGAATTAGTCCCCATAGGCTAGATTTCACTTTCAGTGACTGAGGTAAAGGAGTTTCCACGCATGCCTAATTATCTGCAGGCAGTTCATATTCAAGGACTGAAAAGGTCCAACCTACTAACAAGGGAATCAGAGGAGGTTTTTTAAAATTCTAGATGTTTTAAAGGGTATGTTCGCTTATAAAACAAAAAGATGAGAACAAAACCCTCTATTACATTTAGTAAAACTTGCAGAGGCAATTCCAGAATTTAAAATTTGAAAAATGAAGCCAATAAACAGATATACACACACAAACACTAAAACATTCACTACTTAAAGTGACTACGAGAGTACAGCGCTCACGTTGGATCATGGCATTTGAAGTACCAGGAGTTTAAGATTATAGAAGAAGATGGTGGCACCTGCAAAGGAAAGGTGCAGGTAAGTATCACCGACCTTCCCCCTGTTCCCCATTGCAAATGATGCAAAGGCACCAGACGGTGGACGTCTAACATTGTTAATTAGTACTTGATCCTGTCATTAGATATGGACTAGATAAATAGGAAGATCCCAAGTTGGACAAAATTCCCAAAGTGGAAAACGGTTTCCATATAGTCTTTAAATAAATGTAAAGAATATGAAAACTACATGGAGAATACCCAGCAGGTTGGACCATTCAGTAAAAAAATTGATTTATTGGAATTATATTAATGCTGCCTCCATTTGCCTATAATCCAGAATGTCAACAGGACCTGCTGGTGGTCAGTTTGTTTTGGTCCAATGAAAATACGCAAGTCAGACAGTCAGTTCCAGAAAGCCTAAAGACCAGTTAAGCAGTCAAGTATAAGAAGAAAAAAGAAAAAAAAAACATTCAGTTCTTTGTCAATATCTAAAATGCAGAGCAGTCAGAAGAAGCAGCTCATTAGTTTCTATGTTAGAATGTAGACATTACAATTATTAATAGTTAAAGGAGCACTAAAGTGCTAGAAATGTTAGTATCCCCCTGCATCCTCTGTGATCGTTCAATAAACCTTCATTGACACATTGCTTTCCTATGGGGATTTCCTATGGGGATTCTGAAAACTCTGGACGTCCTCATGTATAGCGTGAAGACTTAAAATTTGTGTCATTACACACAACGCATTCTGTCCCTCCTCCTAACGCTCATTCAGTTTCTCCTTTTCTAAAGATACATCCTCCCCTTGTCCTGTCTTGGTTGGAGTCCTCCAAGGCTCTGTCCTTGGTGCCCTTCTATTTTCTCTTGGCAAACATATTACCTCATTTGGATTCCACTACCACCCAGATATATCGCTCCTCTCTGGACCTCTCCCCTGCAGTCTTGCAACGTGTCACTGCTTGCCTTTCTTCCATCTCTGACTGGATGTCCTCCAGCTTTCTGAAACTCAATATCTCTAAAACTTAGCTGCTTGTCTTTCCTCCGCCTAATACTGATCCTTCTCTTTCGCTCTCCCTTCAAGTTAGTGGTATCCACATAAGTCCATCCTTGCAAGGAAGACTGCTCCTTAATAGTAGCATTCGTTAAAAACTGTTTATTGTAACAAAATCAAACCAAATAAATAAATCAAATCCAATCAAAACTGAATCCCACAGGGGCCCAACCCGACACGCTTCGTCCGGTTTTCAACGTATGCTACTATTAAGAAGCAGTCTTCCTTCCTTGGAGCAACCACTCTTCGAGATTATTATATGCCTGAATGCCACTTTTAGTGCGTAAGTGTTATTCAATTTAGCGCATTGGATGGTCTTTAAAATCTGCACTTATTGTTGCATAATTTCTTTGTTTCCCACATGCCCCTTTTTGGAGTTTGAAGAAATTCACATCATCTGCACATCATCTTTATATATTTTGGACATACCTACAATCAATTGATTTATGGGAGTGTAACATTGAACCTGGTATATAATTGGTTCCCATAATACTACTCTATTAGTTGTTTTATTCTCCCCTAGTCTTGCATCTTTTAAGAAGTGCCTTAAAACCCATCTCTTTAGGAAAGCTTATGGCCTCCCAGAGTAACCTCTACCTCACATACCTGTCTCTTGCTCTCTCCTAAAGGGCAGCACTTTACGCTCTCCTCCAGCTCTGCTTCACTCCCACCTTATTTGATTGCTATTTCCTGTCTCAATGTGTTTTATACCCCACCTCCTACAGACTGTAAGCTCGTTTGAGCAGGGTCCCCTTCAACCTATTGTTCCTGTAGGTTTTCTTGTAATTGTCCTATTTATAGTTAAATCCCCCCTTCTTATAATATTGTAAAGCGCTGCGGAATCTGTTGGCGCTATATAAATGACAATAATAATACCAAACAGTGTCCCTTACTTTCTTCATATGAGCTACTTGTAGAGGATTTCTTCAGGGTCTCCTGTGAAAGCATAGAGAGGCGGTCTGACTGAGAAGGTGTATCTTCCTCTTCGGGGTCAGGAGACTCCTGCATCATTTCCTCAATCTCTTCAATAACCTGCAACAACAAATTATTGCTAAACGCTCCTACTGGTAATTCCATCGGCAAATGTTTACAGTATGTAACATGTTTCCATAAATAACAGTGGATTTATCTGAAAGGTATAGTGTAGTCCTGCAGAAGGACAACACAGCGTAAACAGAATAGACTCCATAAGTCATTGCTGTATATAGGTTTATTAGATCAAGCAAGGCTGCAATTGCAATACTGAGCATTTACAGCTTAGAATTCCGTTTAGATTTTTGATATGCATCATTGCCTTTTTTTTTTTTACCCATGTTATTTCAATCATCTGTTTGAGTCCTTAGAATTCAGAATAAGCTTGGCTGATTTACATTTCTTTTACTGGATTCATCATATTGTTAAAATGTTACTAAAATTTGGTATAGCAGCAATGACGTTAAAAAAAAAAAACCAAAAAAAAAAAAACCCCGTATTTATAGCTATATTAAAAAGGTATACATTTTCAAAGTGCATGGTATATACACCGATTTAATATTTACCTGCTCAGCTGTGAACAAAGGCTCCTCATTGATACAAGACACAATGATGGAATGCATGTCTAGCTGTTCCCTTAACTCCTCATCATCAGATAAGTCGAGATTCATATTGTTATTAACCTGTAAAGCAATGTATGCATGACATAGGTTAGAAACAATACCTACAAATCTGCACTGACATTAAATAAAGTCAAAACTAAACCTGTGCTAAAGTTTAGCAAAATTTCCTATAACAATTATTTGCTTGGATAAATATACATATACACGGTCATGCTCAAAAGAAGACAAAAACAAACTATTGTGGAACATTGTCTAAAACACCGTATTTATACTACATTATAATGTTCCGCACACGTTGCATAATTCTTTCCAGGTTGACAACATCAAACACAGATAATGTTGCACACACACACACTGACACAAGCACAACCACACACAGACATGTTAATACAGATGGACAGTGCAACATATGTAAATATTCTAACAGCAACACACACACACTAACTGCTGATGAACTACATGCATTTAAAATAAGAGTAGAGGAAAAAGAGGTTAAGCAACAGAAGCCAGCAGAGAAGTAATTAAAATAAAAGAGCAGACACTGTGCAGGTGAGCTTTTGAGAATAACTAGGAGTAAAAGAAAGGCTGTGAACACCTGCTGCAAAATGCAGTAAATTGGATGAATGAAGTGGATGATAAAACAAGACATCTAGACACACTGTGGTTGCTACCCAGTTCCCAAAAGACAAATTCTGAGACATATACATTTGTACACACAGTTGCAGACACGGACCAGCAAGGTAACGGAAGAAGGAGGTGAAGAAATATTGAGAACACGAGCAATGGCAGGAGAGTGGGAAAGAAATGAAATAACTGGCACTGGACTGTGGGGTTATGTATGAGCAACTGAGGCAGTATGAGCGCAGAAGTTATAGAGATGGTCAATATGTGTGAATGAAAAAAACTGGAAGACTGAGGAGTAGTCCTGTGGAGAGGCCCTAAAGTGGACGGAAATAACCAAGACCCATGGTAGATGGGCTATGCAGTATTCAGCATGCTGGGCAAGAAGTCAGGAGGAAATGATGATGATTTTTTTAATGTGAAACCAGTGGTGTGAGAAAGGGTCCACAGCGAGACTCAAAAAACCTGCAAGTCCATGATGATGAAGCATTGTGGCCCACATTGGAACACAGAAATGCAGAAGAAAAACTGGTCTATGATGAGACATAAGCAGGAGGGCTGTGGTTGTGAGGTCAATGTGAGTAGTCGAGAGTGTGTGAATGAGAGACTGATGCAGCAGTCAGCAGTTGGTGGACGTGCTATGTAAAAGATCATGAGTGAATAGATGATAAATTGAGAGGATAGAGTACGTAATTTGTGCAGTGAATAGTAAACTGGTAGGTGTGTGGTAAACACATTTGCAGTTTAAGGCAATGGCTGTGATCTGTGTATGGAAAGGGGAATAAGAGTAATATCTACCTTGAGAAAAGCACAGACTGAATTGCTCTTTACAATCCCTAGATCATTACGAGAAAAATGTGAAACAATGTATTCAGAACAATGCATATTTTATTGCAATTACACATACCAAAAGTTAGATCGCAGTTGCTTTAATGAGACACTAAGCACCAAACGTACTTTAGCTTAAGTAAGTGGTTTTGGTGTATATAGTCATGTTCCTGCAGTGTAGCTGCACAGCTCTCTGCCATTTAGGAGTTTTGTTTATGCAACCTAGCCATACCTCCCCTGCCTGTGATTTACTCCACACTTACTATAAAGATCTAACTTTTAAACTTCCTTTATTGCAGTTTGTTTAACTAAGAATCTTAAATCCTGCTTGGTTAATTGCCTGCAGAAGCTTCATGTGTGTGATTAAAGTTCAATTAACAGAGTAGGTGATACAAACTTCTAAAGTAAACACACTGTGATGTTATATCCAATTAAAAATTAAAGCATATATTTCAATAAATTATTATTGAACATTTAGTTATAAATGAAATGGCTGGCAAAAAGATATTTATAAAAATGTCCAACACCGTGTTAGAACACTCATGTAAGTAACAAAAGCCCTTGGCAGTTTAGTTAACAAAAGGACTGAACCGGATGTACCCTGTAAACAAACTCCAGGCATATAGATCACCTCACTGCATTATAAGCCTGAAAATATAATTTCCAGACATAGAAACATAGCAAATCCATCTTCTGCATTGTAAAATGTAGTTTTGTATTTTATTCTTTCAATTTATTACATTTTGTTTTACCCTCAATTTTAAAATTACACAACAGGTCAGTTTTATTCACCTTTGTACTCAGACTGAAATTTGTGACAATACAAGTCTCCATTTAAAAACTCAAGCAATTTGTTCATGAAATAGATATTCCCAAATACAGCATACATAGCCAAACCTGATTTCAAGCAGGTGTACTCAAACTAATGACTTTGCATTTTATACACATTTTCAGAAGTATATGGTCAACGGTTATACTTATGTTATGTCTTCAAGGTTCTCTTAACTTTTCTATTCAGAAAAGTGGACAGCTGATTTTATTTTTTTTGCATACAAAACATTTACATGAATCCAGTTCAATAAAGACAAGAACATGAATTACACATATAGAGAACCACTGATTTTATTTACATTATAAGAAATAAGTGAAAATATATTTAAAAGTGCACCCCACGGGGGGCGTGGCCTAACCTCGGACGAAGATGGACGCCTGATCCTAAAGCTCCGATCCCCCCACGCGCTAAATCCCCTGCCATCCGCATCCCTCACGCCTCAAAACAGTCTGCCCTCATACCAGCAGCAACCCCAACACAGCTGGCACCCGCCCGGTACGGAAAACCAAGAATGGGCGGCAACAAGAAACGGAGGGACACGAACCCATCGGTGGCCTCCATATTCCGCACGCCATCAGACCAACGGAGACCAACCTCCTCACAGGCAGAAGAGGAATCTGGGTCGGAGGCTGAAAGTCTGGACACAGTGATGAACCCGGCGGCCCCCATAACCATCGCGGTACTGAGAGACATGCTGCACCAAGCCACCAACGACATTAAGGCCCATGTAGCCGCCGAGATGGAAAGACATGTGGCAGGCCTTAAAGAGGAAGTAGTAGGCCTCACCGCCCGCACAGACCAGGTAGAAAACCGGATTGCCTCCATATATGCCACCTCCACATCTCACACTCAAGACATAGCATACCTATATGGCCACATGGCTGCACTAGAAGATGGCCTAGAAGACCTAAACAACAGGTCCAGACGTAATAACATACGAATCCGCGGCCTACCCGAAACCGTCACCATGGAACAACTTGTCCCCACACTTCACAGCATTTTTAAAACATTGGCCCCAGACCTCACACCTCAAGAGATGGAATTAGACAGGGCCCACAGAGCCCTCCGCCCGCAAAATCTGGGCGCCTCCATCCCAAGGGATGTGATCACCCGCCTACACTTCTTCACAACTAAAGAGAAACTACTAACCATAGCACGAGACAAACCCCCACGCTATAAAGAAACCCGTCTAACTTTCTTCCAAGACTTAGCCCCCTCCACACTCAAAAAAAGAAGAGACCTCAAACCTCTGACACTTGCCCTCCAGCGACAAGGCATCAAATATACCTGGGGACACCCCTTCAAACTCATGATCAAGAAAGACGATCAAATGCACATCCTCACCTCAGTGTCGGACATGTCGCCCTTCGCAGAATCCCTAGGAATACAACTACTACAACTGGCCCCCTTCCACAAAAACCGTGAAGATGGGCGACCACAGGACGACCCTGAAGACTCTAGGCCGCCCAAGAAATTGAGAACACCTGCTAGCCCGGGAGAACCCCCTCGGCACCGCCGAGACAGCCGCCACCAATCCTAACGGGTCTGATCGCCTGCCACCTGGAATCCTTCACACCACCAACAGCAGGAGCTATCCAGGCGCAGTAAGCGGCCCACATTCAACCAACAACACACCCCATACCTTCTCCGCCATATGCCATCCTACCCCCCCCACCCCCAACTTCAGGACTAAAACTCTTTATTAACCCACGCACTAGCCCAGACCCTGGACATATCGAACACTGGATACGTAAAACTACCACACTGCACTTAAAACCCAAGCACTCGGGATATCCGGGAGGAGCCCTGAACAAAGCCCACCAATCGCTACAAGATCCCCTACTCAACTCCAGGCACAGATCCAGACTACCACCACACTGGAATAACGGAGCACGGACAATATACCTCTTCACACCTCGCCTGAAATCACATCCAACAGCAAGCCCGACGTGCTACCCAAGAACTATCCACTGCCTGATCTGGGGACTCTCTAGCTGATTACTGGACTTACAATCTAACCATCTCTTATTTTGCAGGTACCCCCCCAAAATGGCCCAGGACTAGTTAGCCAGATCCCGCCCCGACCCCACAAGACGTACCCCCTTAGAACGCACTGTTACCCACCCATCCACCCCCCCGGAACCCAAGATGAACTCCACTAACCAACCCAACCAGACAGTATCACCTTCCCCATAACTACCCGAATCCTCACATCCACACAGGATAGACCATGACAACACCATTAGCTATTTACAAATGTGTAAAAGGGGACATCCCACGACTAATCCGGGGGAACCCCCCCAAACCTACCTACCCCCCCAACACAACGCAACGCCACAAATCCACTTACACGGACTCCCACTGTTCAGGACAGGACGACCCCCAGATACCCCCCCCCGACCCAAACAAGATAGACGGGTAAACCCACTCAATCCGGATCCGCCACTAGCATGAAACTGTTATATAGCTTAAGGTTTACACGGATGGTACACATGCAATAACTCCGGATCTGTGTACACATATATAGCAGAAATGTTTTAAATGTTTTAAATGCTGTTTTAAATGCTGTGTTTTTGTTACCATGTTTACTACTATGTTTTCTACTATGTTACCTAATGTTTTCTACTACTTATAATAGACACCGACAACACGATCCTCGAAACAACATCCACAGGACCACAGATGAGGACAACATGAGACACACTCCAAACACCAATGGAGGGACCACGACTGGCACCTTACACCACAGACAGATACCACCGCACCGCCAAATCGTGAGTGCTACACCACACCTAGCGCGGGGGGGGAGAGGAGTAACAGGAACGTGAAACTCTTCCTCCTCTTCCCCACCCCTGAACCCCGGATTCCCCGGGCGACACCAACCACACGACCAACCCAAGGTGTACAACACCGCCTCCCCCCACTTTACCTGGCAACTACCACATAAGACCAGGATAGACACTTTGCAACCCAATCCCCAAAGGGTTTTGTAAACCTCACCCATCCCCCTCTCCCACCACCCATCCCCCACCGGACCCCCCCCCTAATAAGAGCGGTCGGACGCCCCGTCACCCCCTAGACCCGAAGCCCACACCACACTAAAGAATGCCCACCAGCGACCCACCACCACAAACACACACTACCAGACCGGACACAATCTCCTGCATATCCATCAATTGCAAGGGACTTAACAATCCAGCCAAGCGACACCGCACACTTCGCTGGGCCAATAGAACAAAAGCAGATATAATCCTCCTCCAGGAAACCCATTTTGACACGAAAAAACCCTTTCCCCTCATCAACAAAAACTACAGACAATGCTACCTAGCAAATTCGCCACACGGCAAACAAAACGGAGTAGCCATTATGGTTCACAAACACTGCCCGATCACAATCTTAAAAAGCCTCCCAGACCCCCAAGGGAGATATTTGACAATCACGGGACAATTTGCCAATCACAAATACGCGATCACCACAGTCTATGCCCCAAATACACCCGAACCGACCTTCTGGACAGCACTACGCACACAACTAAAACTGTTCCCCTCACACCACATTATCTTAGGCGGGGACTTCAATGCAGTCCTAACCCCATCTATAGATAGGAAAAGCACGGAGGGAAACAAATCACGCAAACCCCCTACCAGGAAAAACGACAATCTCCTCATGGAGTTCGCCACCCAGATAGGCCTCCAAGACATATGGAGACTCCAACACCACACAACCCCAGACTTCACCTTCTACTCGCACCCACACTCCTCTTACTCCAGGATAGACCTATTTTTAATATCCCTTTCCCTAGTACCTTATACACACTCCACCTCGATAGGTTCAATCACCTGGTCTGATCACGCCGAAATCTCTCTCAACATAGATAAGCCCCGCACAGCCAAAGCGTGGACCTGGCGGTTAAACCCCACACTCTTACATAACCCCCAAATCAGACAAACAATCCAACAGGAGCTCACAAACTATTTCGAGACCAATACGGGATCGGTCCCATCCACGAACACACTATGGGCAGCCCATAAAGCAACAATCAGAGGAACCATAATTAGCGCAGCCAGCGCCCACAGAAGACAAACACTCCGGGTATTAGAACAACACCTAACCTCCCTAAGGACAATAGAAGCCAAACACAAACGCACCCCATCTCAATCACTGCTCGACCAAATTAAATTGCACCAACACGCAATAAAGTCCTATATGGCCAAAGATTCCCAAAAAGCATTACAATGGACCAAACAACTATATGAGAAGTCCAACAAGGCAGACACCCTCCTTGCGCGTAGACTCCGACATAAAACTCTCCAAAAACACATAGACGAAATCACATCGCCTGGAGGCAAAACCCATAAAGACCCTGACCGCATAGCCTCTATATTCGTTGACTACTTCTCCAAATTATACGACCATAAACCCAACCACACTTTCACCCACCCAACGTTAGGACAAGAAATTCACGACTTCCTATCGGAAATCCCCCTCCCAGCACTAACAGACCAAGAACGAAACACCCTCGCGTCCCCAATCACTGAAGAGGAAATAGCCCTCACAATAAAGCACATTAAACCCAATAAATGCCCAGGACCTGACGGCTTCACAGGCCTCTATTATAAAACGTTCAGCGCCACATTGATACCCCATCTGACCGCACTCTGCAATTCTATAATGGAAGGCGACCAGGTACCACAAGAGATGCTCAAGGCCAACATATGCCTAATCCCCAAACCACACAAAACACACCTAGACCCTGGACATTACCGCCCAATATCTCTCCTCAACACAGACATCAAAATCCTCACGAAAACACTGGCCAACAGAATACAACGTCTCCTTCCAAAACTCGTGCACCCAGACCAAGTAGGATTCATCCCCAACCGCCAAGCATGCGACAACACCAGACGCACGGTAGACCTAATATGGAGAGCCCAACATAGGAACATCCCCACCCTCCTACTCTCGATGGACGCGGAAAAAGCGTTTGACCGCTTACTCTGGCCCTTCCTATTTACCGTCCTACGAAAATTCCACTTCCCCGACGCCATCATCACGGCCCTCACAACACTGTATTCCAACCCCACGGCAACCCTCCTTCTCCCCAACACTGGCCCGCATGAATTCACAATTAAAAATGGAACCAGACAAGGCTGCCCGCTTTCCCCACTCCTGTTCGCCCTCTCCCTAGAACCCCTTCTTCAACTCATTCGCATATCCCCCGAAATCCGGGGCCTCAAAGTCCGACAGGAAGAATATAAGATCGCAGCGTACGCAGATGATATCCTACTGACACTCACGGACCCCACCAACTCCCTGCCCCCCCTACTCACACTCCTCCAAAAATATGCCGACGTCTCCGGCTACAAACTTAACCTAGATAAAACTGAAGCCCTTCCCCTCAATTTCCCGCAACAACTCCTAACCCAAATAAAAAGCTCTCACCCATTCCGATACAATCAACAAAGTATCCACTACCTAGGCACACACATCTCAGCGAATCTCTCCGAATTGTACTCACTCAACTATACCCCCCTAATCGAACGAGCCCAAATAGACCTACAAAGGTGGCAACCCATGCATATTTCCTGGCTAGGCAGGATCGCATCCATAAAAATGAATCTCCTGCCCAAATTCCTATATTTGTTCCGGACCCTACCCATCCCCATCTCTAGGCTGGACTTCAAAGCCCTCCAATCAAAAATAGATAAATTTATCTGGGCCAATAAAAGACCACGGATCAAACGGATAACAATGTACAAAACAGTTAAGACCGGAGGCCTGGGCCTCCCCAATCTCATCCAATATTACCAAGCAGCCCAACTAGCCCAAGTGCAACAACTCCACTCCCCCCCGGGGACAAAACTCTGGGTCGATCTGGAACACGACCTCCTCGGCAGAGACCACCCCTCCCTCCTCTTCTGGCTCCCAAAAAAAGACAGACCGGCACTTCCCCCAACAACACCCGCCCTAACTACATCACTACAGGTCTGGGACAGAACCACCGCACGACACCCCCTCATAAACTCCCCCTCACCACTTACCCCAATCCTTAGAAATAAACAATTCCCCCCAGGCATGACACCACGTGACTACGCACATTATGAAGACAACGGACTAATCAGACTCAGAGATTTCTATAACAACCAACAACTAATCCCATTCCCAGAACTCCCATGTACCACGCCATTGAACACCTTCGACCACTTTAGATATCTACAATTACGCAGCTTCCTGACAGAACCTCAGAACAGGAAAACAGCAACCGCAAAACTCACCCGATTCGAAACAAACTGCCTACAAGCCCCCACACATAAAGGACAAATCTCCCTGATATACTCCGTACTAAACTCCAACTCCCCAGCGGACACACTCACATACACAAAAGCATGGGAAAGAGACATAGGCCCACCGGATGACCCAACAGACTGGGCAAGCATATGGGAAGCAACCGCCTCACTAACCATATGCGTGAACCACAAAGAACAGGCGTACAAAACCATGCTTAGATGGTACCTAACACCTCTGAAACTCAAACAGATGGACATAGCCCAAACAGACACGTGCTGGAAAAAATGCGGACAACAAGGTACATACACACATGTGCCACTGCCCTTGCAGCGCAACTCTGGACTGAGGACAACACCTCCAGAATACACGAAGAGCCCACGGACCCCTGGACGTGGCTAACCCACCCCTACCCAGCCTAACAAGAGCACAAACACAAACTGGTAGGCTACTCTCGCTACTAGACGCACCATAGCAGAGCAATGGGGTAACCACAACACACCCACACTCGAAGATGATCCAAAAACCAATGAAACCATGGAAATGGACCTCTCAGCCATCCTACATGAAGCACAACCTCACAAAATTGGGACCCTATGGTTATGAGACACATTGTGTTTCCATTCCCCTACATTCCTTAGGGTCGATCAATTGGCTGCAAAGGGTTCTCCCCCCCCATTTTCTAGTATGTTGCCTTATCCCCCAACCAAAACCATATCCTCACCCGGAGGTATTCATACATCACCCAACCATTGCCCAAGTCCACTCCAGCCTCTACAGGAACCAGGGCCTTACCTGCACGGCCACTCAGAATCTCTTACTTGTCACTGAGAGGTCAACACACTCAATTCCAAAGTGGCCACAGTCTCGGCCAAAAAACAGCTAGACCTCTCAGACACACAAGCAAGGTCTCACCTTACCTTGTGAAGCTCATTTCTTTTGCTATGCAGCACTTAGCAAAAGCCTGATACAGTGATACCTCTCATCAAGAAAACCATTACATTTACTCATTGTTTATTCATCACACTATGTTTCTAATAACCTCGACCCAACTACCCCAAGGACCTGGTCAAGTAAAGGGTACACTAACCTGTTCCTAATTGCGCTGAACTCATGCAAAAGACGATGACTCCATCCTTTCATCATAATTATGTTCTATGATAGTTTGGAGAATAAGAGTCTCCTAACTCAGGAGTTCCTAACCCTGCACCACAGAGTACTCCACTATGTACCCCTTACTGTCATCCAGTATGGGTAACATTACAAGTTACAGTCCGGCACATATTATCTGCTCACATATGTCATGGCACATTTACTCTTGTCATTAGGAAGTATATCTTGGTAGGCAAAGACATCAATTTGGTCTCCTTGTACATTGCCTGACTTCACTAATTCATTCCAAAGTAGTTCCCTGCAACATGCCACAGTGGTACGTCTCTGTGGCATTTGAACGTACAAAGGTGAAATTTTATCTTGCCACCCATGCATCAATAACTAAGTGGCAATGTTACTTTTCTAATTTTGGCCAAGTTTGCATGTACCCACACAGCACGGTACACATGAATAACCCAGAGAATCACAGGCTGATGCCATCTACACAGTAAAGTGCAACAAATGTAAGTGTGTTCATTATTTCACTCAACTGCACTCCTCACCCCCAGTGGCGTACATACCGGGATCCTTCTCTTTCGCACCAGGGGCCCAGCTGCCCTGCGACCCGGTATGTATGCCAGTGTGGCCCCCCCGAGGCTGGCCCTGGTATCACTGGGCGGGCAGGCAGGCTCGCGAGGGAGCACTCTCCCCTGAGTGCTCCCTCGCGCACCGCACTGATACCGGAGCCGGAAGATGATGTTATCTTCCGGCTCTTGCATCAGTATACGACGCGAGAGGGAGCTGAAGAGGAAGCACTCAGGGGAGAGTGCTCCCTCGCGCGTCTTCCAGCCCGCCCGGTGATACCACTGGACCCCAGGGAATCCCCTCAGCTCTCCAAAAGGTAAGGAGGCTGGGGGATTAAATTTAAATAAATTAAAAAAAAACACGTGTGTGTGTGTGTGTGTGTGTGTGTGTGTGTGTTAGTGTTAGAGTGTGTTACTGTGTCTGTTACTAAGTGTGTTAGTTTGTGTGCGTCTGTCACTGAGTGTATGTCTGTCAGTTAGTGAGAGTGTGTGTGTGTGTGTGTGTCTTAAGCACTTACCTTTCTCCAGCGCCGGATCTCTCCGCCCCTCAGCTCCGAATGCGCATGCGTGGCAAGAGCCACGCGCGCATTCAAACTGCCCATAGGAAAGCATTACTCAATGCTTTCTTATGGACGTTCAGCGCCTTCTCACTGATTTTCACAGTGAGAATCGCAGAAGCTCCTCTAGCGGCTGTCAATGAGACAGCCACTAGAGGCTGGATTAACCCTCAGTGAAACATAGCAGTTTCTCAGAAACTGCTCTGTTTTCAGCTGCAGGGTTAAAACTAGAGGGACCTGGCACCCAGACCACTTCATTGAGCTGATGTGATCTGGGTGTCTGTAGTGGTGTATGTGTATCTGCATGCACTGGCGTACATACCGCGGTCACAGGGGTTGCAGCCCTGCGACCCGGTGCCCACCGCCATGTGTTGCGGCCCCAGCCCACGCAAAGTAAACGCATACATGATATATGTTACATACTCAAGCAAGGAATGACTCATTTACACAAAGGAAAAACCAAAATAAACAACACTACACTTGACATTCTATAGCACTTACCGCTTTGTCCAAAAGGTTTAGGGTTGGTAAGTGTAACGCTCTAGTGTGAGATGATTTCCAGTCAACGGGCATCACGTTGCCATAGTTATCAGTCAAAGCATTCCATATTCTGGGGAGAGAGGAAAAAAATTCAGATATAGGTTTCTAGAAAGCAACCTGTGTTTTAGATCAATTGAAAAATACTTTAAAAAAAACAAAAAACTTTTAAACAACCACTGTCAACTCAATATTTTTTTATGTAATAATCATTTCATCAAGTATGAGAAAATATATATTCATTTTTAGATGTAAGTGAAGGAGTATAAAAAAATAAAAAGCAACATTTTAAAACAGATAGGCTCTTTTCTCTTCCCTGGTTCTGTGCCAGGAGTGATGCAGGAAAGACCACAGTCTGTTTTTAAACCAATGGCAGGGGGCTACAGTTGCACTTACAGTGTACAGGTCATGAAAACATTACTTTAAAATGTGCAGACTGTAATACTATCTCATACATACACACACATATACATACATATATATACACACACACAGACAAAAGTCGATAGCTTGGTACTCACCCTATCTCCCATTAAATAAATATCTTGATGCCTTGGTGCAAACCCACGTTATGGAATATATGGAGAAAAAAAAAAAAAAAGATGCACTCTCAGGTCTTTACAGAAAATCCGTCGGTATTTATTAAATAAATAAACCGACGTTTCGACCGTACAGGGTCTTCCTCAAGACCTTTTTTTCTCCATACACACACACACACATATATATATATATATATATATATATATATATATATAAAATATTTGAGGAAGGGGACTGTGCTCTCTTGAGCAAATGAGTCTGTGAACGTAAAAACAGTATAAACACACTGCTAAACAACTACAGATTTATTCAAGGGTTGAACCAGAACTCAAATACGGTATTGTGGCAGAGTATTATGTAACACTCCTGGGAAATAATCGGACCAGAAAACAAGGCAATGAATAGTATCCCATAATTTGTAACAACCCCTAAATTTACCTTAAACATCCAAGTAACATATGGAAGATAATCTATTCAGTATCCAATGCAATTCTAGATACACTTGAAAACACAAAAAGAGGATACATAACAATTCTATTAAAATGCTACCAGGATGTTAACGATTATAATATTTCACTTCAGATGGAACAAAGTAATGAGGAAACATTATCCTCAATTGACCCGATTACAGAATGTTTCCCCTTCATATGCACTGGCCGGGTTAAGCTTGAGGGCATTGCAAGCTTCCAGAATTCTAACAGTGGCTTTTCTCTGCCGATTCTTTCCACCTCACTGATGAATCATGTGGTCCTTTCAGTCGTCCTGTCTAAACATCTCTTTGCCAGCAGTTTATTGCAACCAATTAAAGTACTGCCAGAATTATGCAGATATTAAAACTAATGATTTAGCCTTATCCAGACCAAGTAGTATGGCCTGAAAAGAAGTAAATGATACACTTGGCCTCAGAGCATAAATTAGTCAACAATGATAGTGGCTATGGAGGAATATTCCTTTATTAGTAGTTTTTTTTTTTTTTTATAAATAAATTAAAAAAATTATTATTTTTTTTTTTTTTTAAACCCACTCTAGTGGCTAGAAATGCACTTAACCCTACAACATAAGCATTGCAGTTTCTAGATAAAGGTTTTACACTGCAAGATTAAAAGGACAGGAGAACTGCACCCAGACCACTTCAGTGAGATGAAGTGGCCATGGTGACTTAAGGGGCCTTGTAGTCTTCTACTGCTGAAAACAAAGTCAGTAGGATAGTTGACTACTCTGGGGGTGCCTCCTACAAAGGAGGAGAGGTATCACACATATGTTCCTCTTTCCCCATCATACATGTAGATGTGTAGAAGGACAGGGGAAGAAAAACAAATAAATGGTAAGCATCCATCATAGTGAAGTTAATGGAATATTTTTTTAAGTGCAGACAGCTTTTTTGGGGGGGAGGGGGGGTATTGCACAGAAAATTCTCTATGCATCAAAATTATTAGAATGATCTGTTATGGTGTTTAGAGTAACTATAAAAAAAAAAATTACTCAAATAAGCTAATGGTTAATAAACATAACAGGGCTGAATAAATTGTAAGATACATTGTAAGACAAGTTTATAAAAAGGAACACTCCAAAAACAAAGCCAAAATTAATTTAAAAATAAATAAATCATAAAAGTGAAAATTTCAACAGAAAGTCAGCACTTCAATAGCTGCAGTGACTAGATCTGCAATTATTGTAAGCTATGTTTTTGTTACCCACAAATAAATGACATGCACATTTTTCTTTGGGGATATATGTACTGAACAGAACAAGCAGTGGATGGAAATGCATAAAAAAGGATTTTATAATTACAGATAAACTCACACTGATACAAAAAACAGACTTTTATAAAGGCTTATAATGATGCCACTGTTATAAACTAGCTTAGATACCTTACACAAAATGTTCAATAAATTAGGATGCAAGATTATCACTTGGCTTTGCATTTTTAAAATATGAGTCGTAGGACCTAAGCAATGCCTTCTTATCAAACATTTAATAGAAGCTTAACCAGAAAATAAATAATCAAATTCAAAAGAAGCAGCCTAAGACAATAAAACACAATTATAAAAAACAACAATATATTCAGTGCCAGAAATAGTTACAGCATCATTTCCGATACCATGTGATTTAAAGCTTCCTTCTATCATAAAACAAGCCATACATTCCATAAATGAGCATATTGTCAAACAGTTATCACAGGAAGGTCACTGTAAAAAGAAATTTGCAAGAGTACATGACAAGAGATTTACAACCGAGGTATTTTGCTCAACGCTCAGCAGTCTGACCACTCCATTACTTTCTGAAGAAGAAAATACTATTTATTAAAAGAAATGCTGAAATACATCTAAACTAAAAAGGACACTACAGTCACCAAAACCACTTCAGCTTCATGAAGCAGTTTTGGTGTATAGATCATGCCTCTGGAGTCTCACTGCTCAATTATTTGAGTTAAATCCATTCTAGTCACACCTCCTTGCAAATAACATGCACAGCCTTCCTAAACACTTCCTATAAAGAGAGCAAGGGGTAGAGTCAGCGCTAGTCCAGAAGGCAGCAGTCCCAAACAGGGAATCCCTCTAATGTCCCTGGGAATCAGATAGTAAAAACAGAAAAAGTGGGGGGATGGGTCTGCGCCAATGTGCACAATAAATAGTATTATTAAGTCCAGTAGAATCTATTCTGTCGCATCCAAGGGTCTACTTCAGTAATATCCAAGAGATGTTTGATGGTGTGAAGAATAATCCAAATATGTAAAAAATAGAAGAGATCTTACTTACAATTGGCAGAGCTTAACCCAGCTCTGGTGTGAATGGCTTACTGCGGTATTATCCCCGCTTTCAGGATATGCGGCAAGTGTCCTCTTCTTTGTGGTGGCAGGTAACCAAGTTGAAATATAAAAGTAGAGACAATAATGGTGCAGTATATTCCACATGTATGGTAAAAATTATAAAATATAGTAGATACACTCACATTCGGTAGAGCTTTAACTAGCTCTAGTTGATTTAGCGTACAGCGGTATTATCCCCGCTTATGGGATATAAGGTGAGTGATCTTGACTTGGACCTCAGGAGCTCGGAGAGAAGATAAAACAGCGATAGTGCTCTCAATAAAATTTAGGTGAATGAATAAAATAATAAAATATACTCACAATATATAGGGCAGGCTAACTGCTCTATGTAACAGCGTGGGTGGTATAATCCCCACCTAGGATTCTTTGGAGTATAGTATCCAGAAAATAAAAAATTAAAAAAATAATAAAATGGATAAAACGTATTATTTAAAAGAAAGGAAAAATGCTATATAAAAGGCCAGGTAATAAAAAACAAAAGATGGTTTTAACATAAAAATAACCAAAATCTTTATTATTGACAGTATATAAAACAGTAATAAATATCCAAACGCGTTTCGCCAATATGAGGCTTTATCAATGGATAATAAACCATTATTATCCATTGATAAAGCCTCATATTGGCGAAACGCGTTTGGATATTTATAGATTCTACTGGACTTAATACTATTTATTGTGCACATGGGCGCAGACCCATCCCCCCACTTTTTCTGTTTTTACTATAAAGAGAGACCTAATGTTTGAACTTTATTGCACATTCTGCTTAATTTAGAATTTCTTATCTCCTGCTCTGTTAATAGCTTGCTAGACCCTGTAGGAACATCTTGTGTGATTAAAGCTCAATTTACAAAGCAGGAGAAAGACTTTTTAATTGAAATCCTAAATGGCAGAGAATTGAGCAGTGAGACTGCAGGGGCATGATCTTCTACCAAAATTGAATAAAACTCTGCTACTATTACCAGATGGTCTTAGACCATCTGATTGGCACAGCATGGCACATTGCCAAGCATTTGCACTAGCATCCCAATGGTTTCCAATAGGAAAGCATTGGATTGGGTGAGAACATCGATTTCACTACAAGGGAGAAAAGGCAAGTAAACTCATCTTTTTTAACCTTTGCAAAGGGGTTCTGGTAATATGAATGGTAACTAGGGCACTATAGCATTAAGAATGCACATTTGCATTCCTAATGCTATAATGTTCCTTGAGCAGTAAGAGTATGGTTGTTTTTTTATATAATTCTTGAATTGTTTTTTTTAATAATAAAAATTAGTTTTGCTGCATAAGCACACCCTTTCCGCTCCTCCCATTCCTTTTTTGGTCCACTAATACAGATGTATTATTCAAAGATGTCGCACAACAAAGGATTGAGGGAGCTGTAGTTCAGCTGTTCACTTTATTTAGCAGAAATCTAACAAGTGAACTATTATTTCCAGAAAACCACATTGTGCCACTGCTATGATATTTATGGGATAAGCACAGCACAGTCAAAAAAAGTTAAGGGAGAATCATGATTGGCTTAGTCACTTCTTTCAGGTTTCGACAGAGCACTCTAGAGAAACCCCAGACCCCAAGAATTACAGTATATACTCGAGTATTAGTCTAGTTTTTCAGCACATTTTTTGTGCTTAAAAACCCCCACTCGACTTATACTCGAGTCACTGTCTGTATTATGGCAACTTAGAGAGCCGCGGCCGTCAGAGCCATGGAAACGATCCCGCGGCAACCAGACCGCGAGACTTACAGTGGAGCTGACCGGAACGGAGGAGAAGGGAGCTGACAGGAGCTGCAGGAAAGGTAAGTAAATGCTTCCTGCCGGCCCCCCCACTTCGCAGCCCATGCCACTGGACCACCAGGGATTAAGATAGCCCCCCTCCCTGACCAGTTAACAAGCAGGGAGGGGGGACAAAAAAAAATTAAAATAATAAAAAAAAATATTATTTAAATAAAAATGCCCTCCCCCCACCCAGTTCACACACACTACACAGACAAACACTCTGCATTATATACACACTCTGCATTATATACACAGAGTGTGTGTATATAATGCAGAGTGTGTGTATATAATGCAGATTGTGTGTATAATGCAGAGTGTGTGTATAATGCAGAGTGTGTGTATAATGCAGAGTGTGTGTTTGTATGAGTGTGTGTGTATAATGCAGAGTGTGTGTTTGTATGAGTGTGTGTGTGTGTGTGTATATATATAATGCAGAGTGTGTGTTTGTATAAGTGTGTGTGTTTAATGCAGAGTGTGTGTTTGTATGAATGTGTGTGTATATAATTATAAAAATCACAGAATTTCATAGCCCCACATTTTACCCTCGACTTATCCACGAGGCATAGCATATTTCACAATTGTTGGTCACAAAACTGCACTCGACTTATACATGAGATCGACTTATACACGAGTATATACGGTAGTTTGTTTTTTTGCATTTTTATTTTTTGAAAGCACTCTTTATACAAATAACACTCTCACCCGTGGTGTCCTTTAAAAATCACAAGAAGCAAATGTGTTTATTAGTGGAGGATTGAGTGTGTGGGTTCAAAGTTGTGTAACACTGTAGGAGTAAACTTTGCCTCTAGATAAATAAGATTTATAACAATGTCAGTGTAACAGACCGTCTGTTACCCCGACTGTGTACCTCAGCCAATCGCAGCTTCCTGCCGCAGAGTACCACAAGCACCGCAGCCCCTTAGCCGCCACAGCTTGGCTGGGATCTCGCCATCCCTTCGCACCCTGGAGCAAACTCCTGGATCCAGCTCCCAGTGGGAAGGCCTCTCCTCCAAGAGATTATAGCAGTGTAGCCCTTACAAGAGCTAGTGATTATAGCAATCCAAAGAACAATCCCAGGAGCAGGGATTATAGTAGGTATTGCGGTTCCCCCAATCACGAGACAAGTCTCTGTGTTGAGGGTAAGCAGGAACTCATTTAATGGTAGCCATAACTGGCCTTTTGTGCAAGTTCCCATGCAAGGGTCACTCCCCCTTGGACCTGAGAGTAAACCTCAGTAGAAACAAATACACAATGACATTAGCTCTCAGATCCAGGGCACTCCCACACAATATAGGTTAATCCCTCCTCTGTACCTGGGAGATAATTGAGTCAAGTACTTAACTCAATTATCTCCAGACACAAAAACACATTTTTATAAAAAACCCAAAATACATAAAACCTCACAATTGTTACACCCCCTGATGGTCACCCAGATCGGGACTAACATATCCAAAAATCACCCAGATCAGTTCAGGAATTTCCTTGAAGTCATTTATTTGACTGACGCACGCATGGTCCCATGCCCAAACCAGTTCCAGAGAATCAGGGCTTGCGGACGGTCTAGTTCGGTAGTTTAAAAACGAACAAATTACCGATCATAGTTAATTTTCTTACCCTGGAGCTTGTTCCCCTCATCCAGACGAACGGTTCTACTGAACAGTGCCCTTCTAAATGGTATAGAACCGAATGCAGGCGATGATAGAAGTCCAGCGGTGTTTCGGGAGTTTCCGCCACCTTGTGGTTGTCCATAGGAATTTAAGCCACCCAGACGAACAATTAGAACACTGCGGTGAGAACCGTTCCAAGGTGCTAATAGGTGTTAACAATCTGCCGGGTGGTCCCTGGTTGTTCGGTAGTCGAATGGGACAGTGTTCGAATAGGAGGGGAATGCAATCTACTGAACAGACAGGCGAATGGAACAGAAAGCTTTTTAATTCAGGGACAGGGAATCTGTCACAGTCAGTATAAGGTTCAGGATTTAATGCCTCATCACCTTTTATTAACTGTAGGTCAAGCTACTGAATATAACATGTTGCTGCAAACCAGACCACCTTTAGACTATCTAGTTTTATGGGAATCGTTCACTTTTTTCCCCTAAGGCCAACCCAACTCAACATTTGGCTCCATGCCAGTTCATACTTTATTTCTCTCAATATTCATTCTTTAACACCCTGATATTCCAAATATCAGGGTGTTTGCTACACCAACAACATAGCAATTTTAATATCATTTATTTACCCTCCACAAATCCACTTTTCATCACGCTCAGTCCTATTGCTCCCAACAACGAGCCCCCTTCCCTATTAGTTACCTCCTCATTCTACACATTAGTAAGGCTTATCCCATTAGCCCATATAAATTTACATCCCATTCAAGTATATCATCTACCACATCTGTGCACCCTTTCAATTGCATTCTCGATGAATATCCACTTTCCAAATTCCCTTCTACCTGTCAGATCTAAGTCTGCCCTGCAAACATTATTCTAGTAGAAGAATTGGGACTTATACAGCCTAGTCCTTAGCCGCCCGTCCATTAGTTATATTATTTTTTACACATTGGACAAAACCATCTATGCACACACATCCTAATACTATAATGAGCATTGAAAAAAAAAAAAAAAGGGGAGTAAAAACAGAAGAAAAATTTTATTAAATACATATATCTCACAAATGTAACACGAGTTAAGCAAACACACACACACACACACAATATATCTGTATTTTGGTTTGATCTATAAGCACACATCAATGCAGATAGTCTTGTCACACGTTTAAAGGAACACTCCAATATTAAAATTTTTTAACTCTGTTTTAACTTTTGAATCATTCCTTTAACCCTGTAGGTGCCAGGCCTCCTCCACCATACTTTGTCAGACTGCACTGATTGCTGTACAAATGCCATGTATTGCATGCTTCTGATTTGACATATTTATTAGTCTAGTTGACTTCACTTGAGAAGAAGTGGGTTGCAGTGACGAGTGTGTCTCGGCTAAATTACAATTAAACGATACAGGCAATGTTTTCTTTCAGAGAAAAAAACAAAACCAAAAAACCCACCACCTTAATATTCTAGACATTAATGCAACTTATTACTGTGCTGCTTAGACAGCTAGGCTTGTTGTAGGAGACCACCATGGATTGATATTCTGTGTCATCACTCAATAGCAATTACTGTCACAGAAATCCTATTATCACTCTACCGAATAATCAAACTTCAGGAATTTGTTTCCATTGTTAGAAGAGAAAATGCCATACAATGCTCTACTCTGATCTTTAGTTGTTAATGTTTTAACCCACTCAAAGACAGAGGTACAACAGAACCACGAGGCACCCCACAGCCGCAAATCAGTCACCGGAAGGAAATAGTTAAACTAGCATAGAGTTTTACATGAATACAGTTTCTACACACATTACCTAAAAGAAGCATGGTAACAATAAATTAGCATAGAAATCTACACACACTAGTTTAAACGGAAATAAGGAAATTACCCTGGCTCTCAATACTAATTACATCAGCAATTACCTGCCGATTTACATTCTGGCACTGCCATTTGCCATTTACAAATTGAACATATTAGATAATGCATTGTGTGAGGGAAATGTTCCAATGAGACTATTTGAATGTGGCTGGTTAAAATAAAATAAAAAAAATCCTTGAATAAGAAATAGTATACAGTTTAAATAAGTCTGTGAATATTCTTTATTGAATATATTGAAGAGCAGGGCTTAAAATGTTAAGTACTAAACTACCATAAAGGCTTTAAAATTACTCAACACTGCCAGCCTAATGGTGAATTTCTTCTTGCCACAGCAACATTTTTACTCATCAAATGCAAGTGAAAATGTTGAGCTGTACAGAACACCTTATATACACTCCTTTGTTATAGCAATACTTATCACACACACACACACACTACTTGTGTTTAACAGCCTAGATTAACAAATAAATTCCAAATAGAAATTAAAAAAAAAAAATTTCTCTGAAGCCACAATATCGGCAATTACATACGAAATGAGTGCACACCACTAGTCACGTACATAAACTACTTGTGAAACAGTGTCAATGAGTGTATACACACAGTGACACTGTAAATATACAGTTTGTGGGAAATTGTAAATATGAGTTGTGTACACTGTAGCTCAGTGTACACGCTAGCTGTGACACTGTGTCAACACGTTATGCACAACCACTAGCTTTAGGTTTGGGACACTCACCATTAAAACTAGATGTGTACACACAAAAGTACTGTATACACACAGACCCTAAGAAACAGAGTTGTGTACTCACTAAACACACTCCATTCAAAATAAATTGTGGATACTTTGGCCAAGTGCTTGCACACACTAGTTGTGTAAACTCACACACAGCAGGTGTGGCACTAGCAGTGTAATCCTCACATACTAAGTACACACGCACTAGTGGTGGCACTCACACACGCACACACGCACACACACAAACTACTCACACTGTACACACACACACAAACTAGTGGTGGCACTCACACTGTACACACACACACAAACTAGTGGTGGCACTCACACTGTACACACACTGCATACACATACTATATATCTGTGGCCCTAACATTATATACACACACACACACAAACACTAGCTCAGTATATCCCCAGTATGCCCAGCCAGCCCTCCCCTCCCCCCCCCAGTATGCTCAGCCAGCCCCCAGCCATGTGGTAGCAGCCCCCAGTATGCCCAGCCAGCCCCAGCCATGGTAGCAGCCCCCACCCCCACATACAATGCCCAGCCAGCCCCCCAGTATGCCCAGCCAGCCCCCAGTATAGCCAGCCAGCCCCCAGTATGCCCAGCCAGCCCCCAGCCATGGTAGCAGCCCCCCCCTCCCCACCCGGTGACCCGCAGTGAGTGACAGGATGCCATTCCCCCAGCCGGTGCCGGGATACTCACTCGTCGTCCTTCATGATGCCGTCCTCGGTGATGGGCCGGACCGGGGCGATGTTGCCGGTGTCGGCGCTGTAGTTGCGGAAGCAGGCAGTGAGCTTGTCGTCGAAGTCATTGACCAGATCCTCCATGGACTGGAAGCCCTCCATGATGTCCACCGAGAAGCCGTTATCCAGCTCGGCCAGCTCCTCCAGGGGCCCCCCGCCCGCACAGCCCGCACAGCCCGCAGTGTTGGAGTTCACCTTGTCCAGCCGGTTCTTGTCCCCGGTGGAGGAGGAGGAGGCGGCCGGGGCTCTGAACTCGTAAAAGTCCTGCCAGTCCTCATCAAACTGGGCGAGCGGGGCCGCCATGACACTATAACCACTGCGGGCAGGCTCCGACTGCGGCAGTAAACAGGGGACCGGGCTGCTGACAAGTGAGGGCTGTCTCCTGCAGGATGGGAGATGGGGAGCGAGAGGGGGCGGGGTCACGGCGAGGCGGCGGCGGCCATCTTTGTTTCTGGCAAGAAATGTCACTGCGCAAACAGTCCTCATTCATCCCATGCTGTCCATAGAGCGCGCTCCGCCCCGGGGTATGGCACCCACAGAGCTCAAAGAGCTAGATCCATTTAGACTGGAAGAAAGGAGATTTAGTCAATGGCAAAGGAAGAGGGTTTGGTTTGTTTTTTACGGTACGCTGTTATACAGGCTGTACACTTACTATGTTACATTGTAGCAGAGTGTCAGTTTTCAGTGTTGTCACATGAAAGGATATAATAAAATATTTACAAAAATGTGAGGGGTGTACTTACTTTTGTGAGATACTGTATTTCATGTAATATCAGAATGTATGATAACTTTGTTCAGCATATTATACCCATATAGTCATTGCAAAAATAGCTTATTTGTAATATGTTCCGTATTGAAGTAATATTCTATGCACCATAACCACTTAGTTTTTATTAAAATGGTTATAAGGCTTGGATACTGTCCGTGATACCGTGAATTCTGTTTTTAGATCTCTACCTTGCAACCTTATCAATCAGAGACAATAGTATTCTTTCCTTACAATACATCATCCAGGCTAAAAATGTGTGGTTTGTAAATAGGGCCTTTTTACATATTTAATTGAATACTGAAATCAGTGACCCAAAAGGATTGAGTGAAAAAGAAGCTGCGTGTCAGTCCTGTATGTACTAGTACATCATATTACATCATCATATCATTTTGTCAGTTTATTATTTTCTATCAAGCCTTTATTTACTATTAGTTTACTATCACATTCATGATATAGTCCAAGCCCTGAATTTACAACTTATGCAACATTAAATACAATGCCAGTAGTACCCACAATCAAAATGCCAAGTGATACCTCTTTGGAGACAACATAGTATTTTTTTTATTTTTTTTTGGTGCCATGTTACCAGGGAGGAGCGTGGCTCTGTCACAGACTGTGACTTTTATTAGATCACCCTCCACACTCTTATTGCCTGGACAGTGAGGGTTCATAAATTTTGTTTCCTCTGGGTCCCAGTTTTTAACCTCTGTTTTTCTTTTGCGGTTTGTCTTGATTCCAGTCACAGCCATATCTAACATCCGGCAATGATGTTAGGTCTCTGCCTTAGTCTGTCCTTGTGCATTCTTAGTTAGCCTTGTGTATCAGATAGTCCCAGAGTAAACTGAGCATGCACAGACTTGCGATGTTTGGTGCCAGGTGACATGGTGTAGAAGTGCGCACTGTGTGAAAACTTAAATTGACAAAGGAAATGGAGCCTGCCTTAAGCTTCACCCTTTGTCACATTTTGTCAGGTGGAGAAAAATACATAAAGCAAAACAGTCCATAGCTTGTTTATTTTAAAGGACCACTCTAGGCACCCAGACCACTTCAGCTTAATGAAGTGGTCTGGGTGCCAGGTCCTTCTAGGGTTAACCCATTTTTTAATAAACATAGCAGTTTCAGAGAAACTGCTATGTTTATGAATGGGTTAAGCCTTCCCCTAATCCTCTAGTGGCTGTCTCATTGACAGCCACTAGAGGCGCTTGCGTGCTTCTCACTGTGATTTTCACAGTGAGAGCACGCAAGCGTCCATAGGAAAGCATTGTAAATGCTTTCCTATGCGACGGGCTGAATGCGCGCGCAGCTCTTGCCGCGCGTGCCCATTCAGCCCAGGAGGATCGGAGGAGGAGAGAAGAAGGAGAGCTCTCCGCCCAGCGCTGGAAAAAGGTAAGTTTTAACCCCTTTCCCCCTTCCAGAGCTGGGCGGGAGGGGGACCCTGAGGGTGGGGGCACCCTCAGGGCACTATAGTGCCAGGAAAACGAGTATGTTTTCCTGGCACTATAGTGGTCCTTTAAGAACAAAGAGATAACAAGAAAAAAAGAACAGATTGACAGAGTCATCATTTAGTCCATGTGGTTGCATCGTATTCAAATTGAAAATCCATTTCATCTCTGTTTGTCCTATGGTCTTAATTAAGTCACCTCCTCTCCAATTTACAGAGACTCTTTGAATTCCCAGAGTCTCTGTAAATTGGAGAGGAGGTGACTTAATTAAGACCATAGGACAAACATGGATGAAATGGATTTTCAATTTGAATATGATGCAACCACATGGACTAAATGATGACTTCGAAATATGTCATTTTCTATAGAGCTATTTTTAATTATATATTATTGTTATAATAAACATCTACACCATTTTCATTTTTAAGTATTTATAATTTTAAATTTTAGAATAAAGATAACTAAATTGTGTCCTTTTCCCCAAATACATTATATGTAGTCATCATTATAGTCACACCAACTGCACCTTTAAGAACATCCCATAATAATATATGCACATATCCACTTTATAACATCTATATTTAATGGATTCTTATATCTGATTTTTAGCATGGAAGCACTGTGCCACTCTATTTCTTGTTTCCTTTTATGAGTACTGCATAATCCATGTTCTATTCCTGTTATTTTATTATTATGTTCTGCCGAGGACAATACTATTCAGGAACATCCCTTGAGACTTGATGAATATTGGACTATCTATGAATACCCCTTTTCCATTACATTGCCCTAAAGAAAAATGGCGGACGCTATTCCAAGAAACGACATGCACACTTCATGGCCGGAGGTCTGAGGATATTCCAGACACGTGATTATCTAGGTGGAGCACTATCAATGTGGACGTTGTTTACTTCCGCATGTGACGTCACACGCACGAGCCGTCGTGCGTGATGACTTCACAACATAGGAAATATAATTCACAGCTGAGCCCCAACACTCCCAGCGATACGAGTGCCGTGATTGGATGTATCACGGACGCCATTTACCAATCAACTCCCCTCTATGGGATATTTAAATTCAAACTAGCAGCATTTTCAATTACCAATTGATAAAGCCAAATCATACAGGCAAAACACGTCTTGGACTCATCACCAGCACTTAAGTATATTGATTTTATTGTTTTATAGTGAATGTTACAATAAATGTTACTTTTTTACAAAGAAGTCTGGTGAAACATCTATGCTGCTTAAAGAAGGGCTGTGTCACTCTAACTTGACACAATGTTTACACACTTGGAGCCCAGTCATAGGCTTCTGATAAGGTGAGAAGCAAACTTTTATTTATAATCTGCACTTTATTATATCAATGATTTCTGCACCCGGGTCAGCATTGCTTCCATGTTCTCTCCATTTTTTTGTCTCCATTTTGAGGTTTTCGCCTAATATGGACAATTAGGGTGTGTGTCACCTTAAGGACACAAAAGCGGATGAGATCAGAGCCGGTCCTTAAGAGGCTCTAGAGTCTAGACCATGTGAGTGAATCCAGTATAAGATATTTCTCTCACCACTATACCCACCATATTGCACGATATTTTATATATTTCATTTTTAGGATTTTCCCACCCATTGCTTATATCTCCTGAGAATTCCAGGAGTAAGTGTTTGTTTATTTGTTAAAGCTCTACACACTTTTCACTATTTGGCATTTATTTGCACAATAGTGTTTTTTTTAACACATTGGATTTCTAGTAGGTTGGAGAGTTCCTACTTTAGTGTGGAAGCTGCTATCACTTTTTCTTGCATTGTATTGTATTTTATTCTACCATAAGCGCCTTTAACTACAGAATATTCACCCCATTTTACTATTATGATGGCTGGTGTATTATAGTTACTAAATACCTTAATTCTTATTGACTCTTCTGCCACATTTAAAAAATACAATAATTAAGGTGTGCTATATCTTTAAAATAAAATTCCTCATAAGTGTTTACCAAAGTACAAAGTGTTAAATGTGCATATCTAATAAACAATGCAATACCACTGGTTATCAGCCGAAAAAAAAGTGCAAAAATAGTGCTAATATATAACAGTGCTACATACGTGCAAAAGGTGTTTCTAGTGCATCAAAGAAAAAGGAAGCACTTATAGTATATACATGTGTATGCTTAGGATACCATTCAATGTCACATGAAAAATAAAACAAGAATACAAAATAGTGCAATATTACAAGTAATATAGTAATTTGAGTATGCAAAAATAAAACACACACACACACACACACACACAGAGAGAGAGCAGAGAAGCTGGCTCTAACTTGAATCACTCCAAACCACTCTGTGGAATCCAAGCATATAGCTGTGACTGATGGTAAACTTCAGGGAACCGATGGTAAACTTGCAGCAAAACTTTATTCGGCATAAAACTCAAAAAGAATTAAATTAAAGACAGCGGTATATGTAGCCAGCCCTCTCTTCATAGTTCCATTTTCCAATGCAGCAATACTGCACTGTCCAGACAATGGCTTCTTAGACAATTTGTGTGACCACAATCTCTGCCGGGAGATGGGGCTAAAGTCCTTTCTGCGTAATGACATAATCGGGTGTGATGATGTGTTTCGCCAAGAAATTGGCTTCATCAGATCTACTGCACCAAGTCCTCTCAGTCTATTTAAGTCCACCTTTTCCTTTAAAGTCTCAGGGCCTCAGGCTTAACTGCTTCCTTTGTTCCAGTTGTCAGACTCCAATCTGCCTTCTGCCACATTTGCCGCTGTGAAACACCAGCTTTTGCTTATTCTCTTACACTTTGTAACTTTGGAGTCTTAAACACATATCTTTCTAAGTCTTAATCTTGGCTCTTGTCACATTTTGGGCTACCCTAGCTTACTGAACCTAAACCAAGCATCCTACCTTATAATCAAACAGTTCATTTTGGTATAGTAACATATTAACAATCCTTACAGGTAAATTGACCTAAAAAGCTACCACGAGCAACATCTGGACAGGATGAGTGACCAAGGACATGCCAAGGTCAAGGGTCACGACAGAGCAAAAAAGAAAAAAGGACAACCAGGAAGCATATATAACTTACACTAGGTTGTGATTGGTTACAGAGGACCATGATGTCACAATGGTGTATACATCATCAAAAAGCACCACATAGACTGATATTATAAAAGTAGACCAGTGGAAGGGTTACATGTCATATATAGGAAGCTAGGGATGAGTGGGTGTGCATTAGAACACAGAAGAGACATCATCCCTGTGATCGCACTGTGCTGTGAGGGACTGGTATCGTCACACAGAGATCCATTTTTGTCACTTAGAGTTAGAGGAGAAATGGCTCCATGTGATCTGAGTACACTCTGTTGCACTTCCAGTCACCCACCTGGGACTATGAAAGACACACAGAACTTCAGCAACTTTTACGTCAAAACAGCTGAATTGGAAAAATAAACTCTTATGGAACATTTTCTGATTTGGCTATTTTATTAAAAA